CAAGGACTGGAGAAGGACTGCTCTGAAGGCACACGGTTCGGGTCAAAGCTCCGTGGGGTACACCTGTACTACAGTAATACCCTAGAAGTCCAAAGGATGTTTTGGCACCACCGAAGTTATACAAGTAAAAGAAATCAATGTCAATTTCAGGGCATACATAATTTGTCCTCCAAATCTATTTCGTGGTTTGTATCAAGATCTTGTCAGCTGATGCCGTGCCAGGGCCAGTTGGGACAAACACTTCCAGTCATGAGTCATAGGAATTGAACATCAAGAGTTCTCCCACCCAGTCCTTCAACAGCAAATACCTCCAACAACATATTGGGACCATTGATCGGTATTTTCACTCGCTCCTCACCAGTGGCCACCACATAAATACCCCCAATGGCTGGGAAGCTTGGAGATGCACTTCCAGCATCTTCCAGCTCCGGCGAAGAACATGGAAGAACGTTGATGCAAAGGAACACTAGTAATTACAGGCACAACTGGCACTACACAATCCTGAATGAACCAGGATGCATGGAAGTGATGACGCTTCTTGGTGTTTCTTGGTGATGAGCCTCTAGGTGCTTCCAGTTTAACCAAGACAGGTTCAGGAGGGGAATGAACCGTCTTATATGTTAAGTTAAGAGCATCACACAACTCCATCCAACTTCCCAAGTTGTCTTCCTGACCAATCCTTCCTTGAAGGAGCAACTCTCGCACTGAGCAGAGAGTATGGTCCATGGTTCCAAAAATGAGTTTGCTACAACTTTGTGGTGGGAAATGGGTAGTATGGCTGATGCCCCGCCTTTCAAAAGAACAATACGACCCAAACCTGCCGATTGTGCTCGTGTATTCTCCTTCGATCATTCTGCAACCCTTTGGTGGAAAAAAAAGAAAACAAAACACCTCTGCTCGTTTCAAAAGCAAAAACACTCCATGTGCGCCCAGGGTTAAGTCCATCTGAACTTGATGGAGATGCTCACATCTGGGGCTTGACCTATGAACCACTTCGAGCACCACAGAACATGGGATTCTGACATCTAATGACCGACCTAAGGAATCGCTTGCCTCCTGACCATGGGAAAAAATAAAACGGCACCAAAGCAAGACCTGCCTGGATCGAGGTCAAGATGGCAGAAATGTCGTAGATGGGGCTCCATTGATTCTGCGGGCGGGCGGTCGAACCGTTCTCGAACGATCCACACGAGGTCTCCGGTCTCCGGTGTCAAACACAGATGTCGAAGCACGGTGGCTTCTGCACCGTGACCGCACCGTAGATTCCACACAAGGTCAGAGAAGGGTATTATCCCTAGGGCTCCAACTACCTCCTGAGAAGATGGTTGGGGTGGGTTTTGGGGGTCTAACGGTCTAACCACCTTCTGAGGATATGGTTGGAGCCCTAGGGTATAACGGTATAACAGTCATAGGTTCTTCTCTCTATAATTAAGCCTTGACACTTGGGGGCCGCCTTGTGATCATTTGGAGCAGTGTCAGGATCTACAGTATTCCAAAGGGAAGAGGTGATGTGGCATGCGGGTGTCCTTATGACTTCTTTGAGAGTTCAGTCCAAACAAGAAAAGTCTGGTTGAAGGAAGGGCAGAAAAGCTGCCCTTGATAATATACAAGCAAACAGTGGCTCCTTGCTTCTGGTTGGAGGTAAGAACAACCTGCAAGTCGAGGTTCAGGGTTGAGGGTGGAGAACAACCTGGCAAATCCACACGACAAGACTCTGACTCCTGGCTTTGTGCTTGACCACCACAACGGAAACTTTGTTGCATCAATTCCAAAAACTCCTGTCCAAGTCCTTCTTCCCAGACACAAAGAGCAACATGCCATCCTTCTGGACTGGTGATCCGTCAGAGCCCACGCTGCACACACTGCCTTTCCTTTGACCGCGAAACCTCACGGCCAGGCGTCAACCGTGCGTCTCAAGGGGCCAAACCGGTGCTTCGGTGCCCCTACCGACTCCACCGAAAGAAACAACCGGTGGGACCCATGGGGACTGTGGGGACTGGTGGTTTTCGGAATGCGCGTTTCACCTCGTTGAAACGCTCGCGGGCCCTGAGGCTCAGAGACCAAGCGGAGCTTCTCCTGCAGCGTCCGACGCGAAAAGAACATGACTGTCATGACTGATGCAAAAACCAGGGGATCCAGGCAAACCACCAGTGGCTGGTCACCAGTGGCTCAGCCAAGACTTAAAAACATCGACTCAAACCAGCGTTATTCCGCAACCCTGGTTCCATAACATTGTGGTTTCAGTGGGATCCACTGGAGCTGGAATAGGAAGATCGATCTCCTTTGCAGTGGACTGGCCTCCAAGGGGCGCCCCCCAAGAAGCCTCCCAGGTGCAGCCCAAAGGCTCACCTCGTCAGTTGTATTGCCCATGCTCCGGGAAAAGCATGAAACAGAAACAGGGAAACACATGATCCATCTGATCCACTTATTCCATGGTGAAAACAGGGATGTCTGATGTCATGTCTGATGTCATCCCACTTTTGAAGAAACTGTTCTCCTCAAAAACAAAGCTGCATCACCGGAGATTGACAGGACAATACCTCACTGTAGACAGTGAGATTCATGGCGGGGTCAAGGTTTTGTTGAAAAAGAACTCCTCCATCGACAATACCATCCAGAGATATCACTCCCTCGCCTGAGTCTGTCAGGATCTTTATATGCTTCACTGAGGCATAACATCCCCCAGAACCAAATTGCTCAACATTTGGTTCATATCGTCTATCATGTGACTTTGAAAAGTTGTCAGATCTGAACATGATCGCATGCTCAAGGCCAAACTTGGAACACGTGATGCATAGTCTCCTGATGGCTTTCATCGCCCAACAGGCTCGGCACAGGATCTCAAACGCGGACTACTGGAGGAATTGAGGGGTACCTTTCCGATGAGGATGTTGCTGCCAACATCCCCTTTTGGAAGGTGTTGGTTTCCTCGTGCTGACCCCAACACCCACATCATTGATGTTCAAGGTACAGCACCAAGAACACCCTGTTGTAGGGTTCTCCCATGTTCTCCCTCTTTCTGTGAATCAAAAAGCTGTCCAAGGTCCTGGGCATTCTCCTGAAACAATCACGAAAGTGAATGGGATGATGAAGCCCGGAAAGATCATTTGTCAAACACCAGTTTCAGGGGATTGGGCTATCAGATTCTCCACAAAGACACAGCGATTCGGGCAGATTCCTTTTTTTGCCCGCTGGCGACTGGTGCAGAAGCCCGAGTCACTCGCAGTGCGGGTGCACTACCGCGGGCAACGGCGGTTGACGCCCGTGGGACCGGCTAAGCGCTTCGGCACCAGGGTCGAAGAACGTCGTCTTCAGCTTGACCTTGCGAGGGAAATGAAACAACCAGCTGGGCATGGCTTTTTGCCCATGCTAATGAGACCAGCACAAGTCAAGTGGAGGAATATCTTAAGTTGGGCTGTTTGCGATGAAGAGGTTGGGAGCAATTCTCTCTATATAAAGATAATATAAGATAATCAAGCCTTCATCGACCAAACGAGACCGCTGGCTAAAATCTCGGGCAAAGGGCGCCTAACGAGGAAAGTTCAATGTTGTTCAACGTCTCAATGCCACGGTCGCCCAATCTTTGCCAAAAAGCACACAGACCGACACTCTGACGAACCCATGCCGTGTGTGTGTTCGCAGGCGTCCCTAAAAGGAAGACGACATTCGGAACAAGGGGTTTTCGCTCCACTTCGGTTCGTCAGAGTGCAGCCACTGTACCAGACTCTCTGCATCGACCGAGTCGGTCTCGACATCCCGGAGCATCACTCGTTGATTTGGGGACAGTGCCACACACCCCACGTACACTTCCTCCAACAAGCATGGAATTCCACGTCCATGACGGAAGTTGCCTCAGAAAATGTGTGTAAAGCTCCTGGGAAGCAAAGGCAGACGGAGCTACTCAACCACACCACACATCGTCCTGCCTTCCATGCCCGACTTGCCTGGCCCCTTTTTGTGCCCTTCCCGCCTCGTCGTCCCGCAGGCCTCTTGGAGATGGCTCGTGGGTGGATCGGTGTCCCTGGCGATCGGCGCAGCGGTACGCAGCAGTAAGCAGCGGGGAGATGTGTCCGCAAGGAACTTTGATGAGCGCCGGGCGTTTGGAAGGTTGGATGCCATTTTCACAAATGCAACCTTCATGGCAAAACATGCTAGAACATCATGATGGTGGAATGGTTGCATTTGAGGATGCGATTCTGGCTCAAGCATCCCAGCAGCACAGAATTCCCGGCATCTTTCAACAGTGGGATATACATTGAAAGGACCTGCAGAGGCACTTTTATTCTGTGGGACGGGTACCTCTTGTCATCACAGTTCAGAGCTGCACTTGAGGCACGCTCTTGAGGCCCATCACCATGTCATTCAGGCTTTCTGTGGATTGGGGTTTGGGTCTGTGGGATACGGTTTAATGTTTGTGGATTGGGGTTTCGGGTTTGTGGACTAGGGTGTTTGAACCCTAATCCACTGTGGTCCACCAGGAAATTCGACCACAAGGTCAAGTAAGGGGGAAACACCTTCTCAGAAAGGATGATTCTTGAACATCGGAATCAGACTTCGCCGAATAAATCAATTGCAGGAAGTATAAGTTCACATAAGTTCCATGTTATCTATTGGCTAGTATATGCATATGATATGGTTGTATATTGTTGCATATGCTGCATATGTATATATACATATAAGCTCAAAATAGATGTACCCTGCATTGGACCAATACTCTAGTTTATCATGTAATAATAAACCTTAATAAACACGGCTTTCCAAGAGGATTGTTGCTAATCAATCTATTTGAGCCTTCCAGCAAGCTGAGGGCAATCGCTTTAACTTCCTCTTCCTTGGATTCCTTCCATTTTCCGAGATGTCCAGCCGCTCCGCAAAGATGTTCCATCCAAGCTCTTTTTTGCATTGGCCAAGCAGATCAAATCCCTGAAAACGGTGAAAGCGAGTCCGCTGCACACGGTCTGCTCAGCACGCGGTCTACGCGGAAGCAGAAGCCGCGCCCTTTAGGCGCTCTCGGAAGGCTCGCCGTCCACCTCGCTGGCGACTTTGGCGTTCTCCCGGAGGGCGGCTGGCTCGTAGAACATCCCGGCAATCAGACAGATACAGAGCCAGAAGATCCCGAGGGGTGTGGCGTGCTTGTCCCAGATCAAAACCTCGGATATATAAACGAGAAGAGAAGAGACCGGTGAGAATGACGTGAAATTGACAGAGACCCTTACGGTGTATTGAGGATTGATGGGCCTTAACCACATGGGATATCATGAGCGCAATGGCTCATCACAAGGTCCCTCTGGGAAGCTAAATCACATGACTCTTCGGTTCAACTTCAGAGTCAGAGGGTGACAGAACACCAGGTAATTGAAGCAAAAGGAAGAATCCTCTTTCAATGGTGTTGATCCGAGTTTTCAGTCAGTCTCTTTTCTTCCAAAACATCAAATACCATGGCCCTAGGATGCCCAAGGTGCATTCAAGAGGACGCTCAAGAACTTGCACATGAGGCCTCAGCGGCTTTGTTTTCGGCACCTGTAATAACACCACGAAAAGAACTCTTTCCTGCTCAACTTCTCTTCCCTGAGAATCTCAGATGGAATTCCTCACAAGCTTCCCTTGTGCGAACCAGGTGGGGATGTTTTTAAAGTTCCAAAGAGCGAGCGAATTCTCCCATCAACAGTTGTTGATAGGAGTGGCCCAAACCGGCATCCAACCCGAAATTTCAAGCCGATTCCAAGCCCCTTATATAACCCTCCCATAACCATGTTTAATTTCTCCCCCACTCCACAACGGAGCCTCTCGTGGAGGATCTGAGGACTACCACTCACTGGCCAGTGGATGCAAGGAAAACCCTGCTGGGGAAAAGACAGAAGCAAGCTTGGGATGCTGGTCCAACTACTGAATCCATTGGTCAAAAAGACTTCACCCCTGCGTCATTCACATCGCTTCGGCCCATCCGAAAGTCCCAAAAACCTCGTGCTGGTTCCAAGCATCCCACCAGCGAATAGGTCGTGGCGGTCAGAAGGCTGGTGCAATTCCAGCCACTCCAGCTAATGCCCACCCCGATCGCTGAGGACACGAACAAGGCCGCAAAGCCAGCCATGCCTGCGGTCCAAGTCCGTGTCCGTCGTGAAGGCAGCGGCTTCGAAACGGACCAAAACCGGAGATGGCTGGTCGGGGGACCGAATACAACCCAGAGGTCTTTTCGGGTGTTGGAACTCCTTTTTGCAGAGGTTTTCTTTGATAGGGGGTCTCCTACTCTAATACACATGAATGTAAATACCAGCTTCTTCAAAGTGACCTTTTGAAGGTTCCTAAGTGACCCTTAGGAGGCTTAAGTGACCTCAAACCAGGTTATCAAAAGGTCACATTGAAGAACCAGGTATATAGTTTTTGGTTTGGAAGGTATTTAGTGCCGCAACTGACCCGGTGACCGTGAGACCCTTGGCCCTGGCTTAGCTTCCCACCATCGAGGAAAGGCTGTTTTTGGGCTCGGCCCTCCAACCGATGACGCGCCAGGCTAAATGCAAAAGAGACACTGGGTTCGTTACTCTGGGCCTTGTTGACTTCGTCATTGAGCAAGCCCAGGAGCACCACTGCGGGGCAGGACATCACGTTGGTGTAGTAGGTCCTGGTTTTTCTGCGCGTTCGTTCAACAGCCCTTGAAGCTAAAGGGTGCCAAAGGCTAAACCAGGACGTCAGGAAAGCTGGGACCCGCTCAGGTTCATCATGAGAGGCTTTTCCACTCAATCAGAATCTTGTGAAAATCAGGGTGTTCCTGTGTCTGGCTGTCTGGCCCTGGCTTCCAGAAAACCCTCCAATTCTAGCCCTCGTACACCCCAGCATTGACTCTTCACGAGGTCTATACCTCTGTATGTCTATGTCTATGTCTACGTCTATAGATGGGAAATAGACCAGTCTACCAGTCTACCCATTGGTTGGAGACCTTGCTACAGTATTCATATACACACCCATATAGATCAATCCTCAGGTCTTGATCAATCCTCCAGTCTCTACATCCCCAAGGCCTTTTCTGAAGACAAGAACGGCATCTTCTTCCGCCTCTTCCTTCAGATCACAGACTGCAAAACCAAGACCCGCAACAACACCTCCCTGACTTGCAGGTCAACTACATTAGTATGGCGTATGGCCTGATGTTTCCCGTTTCAGTTCCCCATCCGTCTCCCCAACCTCTGCCCAACGAACCGTCGATCCGAGCCCGAATGATCCAAGGCGTCAAACCCCACACGGGAGAAGCGAAACTCACTTTGGAGGTGACCGACTTCCCATAGACCATGTTGTAGACAATCAGCAGCAGGTAAATGCCCACCCATGTGTAGGCCTGCAAGTGTTTTTCTAAAACAAAGATCGAAAATGACCAACCAACTGACGACAACTAAAGCAATATGGATAGATCTGCATAGACAGAGGGAAACTGCTTCCAAGTGTCTATGCTTTTTTGGCCCCAGCAGGCATGACATTCATTTCTCTGGAGGAAAGACAACCCTGTCTTGACGTTTTTCTTGCGAAAAAGGAAACAAAAATCCTTCCAGCTTCTGCTGACCTGCAAACCCACCAGCTTCATTTGGCTGTCAGCCAAAACGTAGCCCGTGGCCGCCACCAGAATGGACAGCAAGGCACCAGTGGATTTCCAGCTGGGCAGCTGGCGATTCAGCACGGCCCATTCGATCACACCTTGTTCCGATCGAATCTGAGGATTCCTGTGGAATTCTCAGATCTGGTCGTGTTTTTACGCGCAGAATAACTATACAATTTATACAAGGACTTGTTTTAAAAAGGTTTTAAAAGAACGGTTCGTGTTCGCGTTTTGGATTGTTTGGTTTTTAGTCTCTTAGTGTAAAGCGTTCTAATCTCCACAAGCCAGGCACTAATCAAGAGTGGAGCACAGGAGCGGGCCACGATCACCGTCTCCACATTGGAATGCTCAAGACTTTTGCCATTGGCATATATACTCATGGCAAAGGAGATGGTGTATGGAAACATTAGCTTGATATTGAACCTTAGAGTTGCAGGAAAAGAATGAACCTTGGAGTTGATATTGAACGTTAGAGTTGCAAACCCCCAGATCCCTGCAGGATGTTTGAATGCGGCTGTGGTCGGTTCGTCGGATGCCGACGAGAGAGAACCACAGCACTGACGGGGATTTGGATCTGGGAAGGATTTACGGAGAGCCCGTCTCCATGAGCTGCTCAAACTATCAGGAGCTTGTCCGGACCATGTCCTGGAATGGGTGCTCTATCAATTCTATTGTTCGTGCAACCGTTGATTCGTTTTGGTTATATATATATACACATATCATATACCTTGAGATGAAATTGCTACCACCTGCGCTTCTCGGAAAAATGCCCTCCTTCTGGCCGGGGAGTTCCGCCAACTTGGTGCGTCGAGTTTTCCGCCCAGTTTTTCGGCGAACGCGGCACCAGGTGAGATCGTCCACCCGTAGAGAGCACAGGGTCTTCATCATGTAGATCGACACCACTGCGAAGGCCAGCTGGAATGTAAACACCGCGCCAGGGAGGGGTATCCTCAGCAACACCCGGTACCGACCTTGATGTTCGTTCTACTTAAGAAAAGACATGTTGACATACACATACATAGACTCTATCTGGAGGTCCTTGGAGTGGGTAACTGGATGCATCAACTGAGGTGGTTCGATCCTGTGGGTTCTGTTTCTGGAAGTCACCTTGAGAACAGGCGAAACGCCGAATCCCTACCTTCTCGAAGGACATCATTGTCCGCACCGTATGCGGTTTCTTTTGAGGTATCTGACACACAGGAGCGTAGCAATCTAAGGGTTGGAAGGTAAGACCAGCGAGAATGAGATGTCCTTCTTGTGATGTCTTTCTTTGAGATGTCCACACTGTAGCTGCTCTGCTTTCTTTGTCGAAACAACATCACCAACGTTTCGGTCTTTGTCACCAACGTCCCAGGGGTTCAACTGCATGTGGACGCCATCCAAGGCGAGAAGCAATGTGAGCGTGACTTTGTTGGCCACAAGCATCATGCTTGAGCATGTGACATAAGCAGCCACCCCAAAGAACGCAGACGCTGGTAACATTGCTACCAAAGAGCTATGTTAGAAGATATGACTCAAGGAGAGAACATAGATTTTGGTGGTCGAAGTCAGTGGTTAGCTAGTCTTTGCTTTATACAGAACTTGATGCTGGTGTAAAATGGCCCAGTGTCCGAAGGATAGTGGAGCATCTTGAGATAACCCTGTCAAAGGTTCTTGGTGTTCAGTGCACGGGAGACCTTCTCATCTTCAAATCTCTCCCATTGTTTTCCATATGTTTGAATGGTAATGATAGTGGACAACTGTATGAGCCAGCATGGCGACACATGACACCGCCTCACTGGATGAGTAAGTGGACTAAACATGCAGTGCCCTTTTGGAGTGCAGTGGAAAATGATCTCCGGCTTCTGTTTCTGCACATGAGAGTTTGTCTCAAACTGAAGGAGGGGGAGGATGTTCTTTTCTACTGTTTCCCCAGTCTTGCGATGTATCCTACCCTCTGAAATGCTTTTGGAGTATTGACAGCACCCAGACAAAACGAGCCGCACTGTCTTTTGGGGACCTTCTGCGTACGATCCAAACAAAGCCGCAGCTTTGAGGTGTACCGTTGACCATCAGTTTGGTTGTACCCTCCTTTTGATCCGGACTCCGCACCTTTGAATGACTCTACACCTTGCAGAGTGTGTAGATATTCCCATACCAGTTGGTTGACGGATTCTGGGCCAGAACCTTTCTGGCAAACTGGAGACCTGTAGTTGATGACAACCCCTTTCAGGTGATCGTCTGTCCTCTCTTGAGGAGACTTCAAGTCCAACCAACTCTGGACGGTCAAAGTTCAAAGAAGCACTTAACCACCAAAACAAGACACATCGGATGCCGCAAATCCAACACGAAAACCGTGAAGGAACTATGACCAAGCACTTTCTGCCTATATCACAAAAAAGGGAGCAAACCATGTGGGTCAAACATATGTATATAATGTTTGAGCACCTGGTTCTTCCACGTTCGCTTTGAAATCCGGGTATGAGGTCACTTAAGCTGTAACAAGAAGGAATCCTTTAGAGGTCGAAGAAGCTGGCAGAAGAATTCAGATTCAAATCCACATGTGTAGTTGAACCTCTCCTGTTCAAGATGGCTACAAACTGACAATATCTTTGACATTGACACGGGGAAAAACAGAAAGCTTAGTTTTGTCAATTATTATCCCATCACTATGTCCACTCAACAGCAACTAGCAATGTAATGGAAACAAAATAACTCCCAATCAATATCCCACTTTCAAAGTCAATGGCTACTACCTTCTGTGGGGACAACTAATGCCTACTCAAGAAAATTTGCTTAATTTTATGGTGTGGTGTCTAACCCTCTCTCCAGTGTACACTTTACGTCCGCAAACCTGCCTTGTCATGTCATCTGGAGGTTGGCCAGAACCTCGATCGGCCGGTGAAACTGGTGAAAATCAAGTTCACAGTTGGGTGGGGGAAATAAGAAATGTGTCACCTACGACGATGGGCCATTAATGAATTGTTGATTCCAGCAGTTCCAAGTTGTGTTTGCGTGGTCCTTGAAGCTCCTGACTTTGACCTGAACCTGAGGGAACCTGTTGTTTCTTGCAGAAAGAAATCATAGAATCACGGAACTGAAAGTAAACAAAAACCTGAGAAGCTGCAAAACGAAAGCCAGCGCTTCCCTTTCTCGACAACTGCGCGTCGAAGCAATCAAATGAGCTCGCGCAGGCGCTTGCGGCCGCGTGTCAAATCTGCTTCATGTCTTGTTCTGCACACACATAGGTACCCATGCAAAAGCAAAGAATGCACTCTTGCATCACCACCCGCCCCAAAATCACTAAAACATCACCTCCAAAAGTTTACGTACACCTTTCTCGGGCCACCCCCCCGACCCCCGACCGACTTCACACATAGACAATTTCAGCCACATTCACATGAACCAAAAGCCAAACAATGCACCAAAATTCGAGGTGGCCTGGGACCAGAGGCTCGCTGTCCGAAACTATATGTTCAGGCCACCTCAGAAATGAAGATATGCGAAGCAAGGGTCCTGAGGTGTCTCTGTGACAAGGCTTTTGTTAAAACAGACAATTTTTCAAGCTAAATTCAAGGTGGCCTGAGACGAGGGTTTGCTGCCCTAAAACACTCTGTTCAGGCCACCTTAAAAATGAAGGTCTGCGAAGCGAGAGCAGAGGATGCACATTGTCCTTCTGCTGCTTGAATGTGGCCTTTTGTTTACTTAAAGGTTCAAGACCTCCCAGCTGTTTCCACCTCTTCGCTTCCCAGTCTTCCCAGGGTTCATATAGGGAGCCAGGCCATTTTCAGAATCTTCTGGATTTGAGCTGTTCGAGTTCCTATTGAAGGGTATAGTTGGCGAGTGCGTCACCACCCGCTCCAAAAGCATCAAAGCATCAACCCCAGAGTTTACGTATATCTTTCTCGAGCCACACATGCACAGCAAACCACAGCTTTGAAGTCTCATTCGTGCTTTGAACTTGTATAGGTGTGTAAGAGGTATAGCATCATAGCATTTATACGGACCCAGGTAGCTACAATTCTGTTCCCAGGTATCGCGCGCATGAGGCTTCAAAGCTGTGATTTTCAAGCTAAATTCAAGGTGGACTGAGACCAGGGTTTGCTGCCCTAAAGCACTCTGTTCAGGCCACCTTAAAAATGAAGGTCTGCGAAGCGAGAGCAAAGGACTTTCCACCTCCTCGCTTCCCAGTCTTCCCAGGGGTCATATAGGGAGCCAGGCCATTTTCAGAATCTTCTGGATTTGAGCTGTTCGAGTTCCTATTGACGGGTATATGTTGTCGTTGGCGAGTGCGTCACCACCCGCTCCAAAAGCATCAAAGCATCACCTTCCAGAGTTTACATATATCTTTCTCGAGCCACACATGCACAGCAAACCAGAGCTATGAAGTCTCATTCGTGCTTTGAACTGGTATAGGTGTGTAAGAGGTATAGCAACATAGCATTCATACGGACCCACGGTAGCTACAACTCTGTTCCCAGGTATCGCGCGCATGAGGCTTCAAAACTGTGGATTGCTGTGCGTGTGTAGAGGTTATCGAGCGGTTGATGGGAAGGGAACTTGAAGTACTATACCTAGTAGCTGCACTATAGCTACCCTGGGTCTCTATACCTGGCAAGGTGCCAACTACACCTTCCCATTCAGATGATGCAAATGATGCAAATTGCATTTCTTGCATCACCACCCCTCAAAAATCACCTCCAACACAACCTCAAAAAACCTTCCCTCGACGCACCCTCCTCCCCCAGCATGTGCCGAGTTTACGTGTACCCTTTGCGGACCCCCCCAGACCCCCTAACTACTCACTTCGTTCGCCAAACACAACTCCGCTGGCGCCTTCTACGAAGGCTGGCTTTCGTAACAGAGATGAGTCATTTGCAAAGAATCTTTGAGTGATCCAAGAAAGGTGCCATCTTATCGCAGTTTGCTCGACTGCCAGGATCAGCTCCTGGAAACTGGATTCTTGCGAGACACTCCGACCTTGGATCAAACAAAAACTCTAGAGTTGTTGTTTTGTGGACCTCTATGACCATAGTAAACTGGAACCATAGGAAACTGGAACCGTTCCTTCTATCTAGATCTAGAGTTGCTTAGCTTGGAAATGGTTCTTCGTGGAACTGTCCCCGTATACTTGCGGCCACTTTCAACCACCAACTGCCAAGGTGACCTTTAGAATTCAAGAACTTGGAAAAAGGAACTCTTCTCCACCCTCCAGCAGTTCTTTGTAAATCACTCAACCTGGACTCCCAATCGCCCTACATGTTTCCAAACGCAGACGCTCTGGGTACCAACCGGGTGTCCACGCCCAAAGGCTTTGCTCGCCACACCAGCGGAGCTCGCACGCACCGGCGGCTCGATGGGTGGCAGGTTCAGCACTGCATCGCAGCACATGGACTCCTCGGAGCGGGATGACCGACACGTCCGAGGGGCGAACCACAACCAACGCGTTCGAAAAAGGGACCGTGAGGTGTGTGTTGCCTTCCAGGGCGCCATGGCCAATGGAAAAACGGCTATGTAACTGCTCTAACTCACGAGGGAGTGGCAGAGACGTCCCGCAACAAAAGACATGCTGTTGGATTCTTGGAGAACCAGCATCAGTTGATCCAACTGATATTGCGTGGATAATTTGTTCTCGGGTGATTTGCAAGTTGAATCGCTGAACCCGGGACGAAGGATTCGGGGCATTGGTTTACCAATAGGTTTATCTTGGACAAAGGAGCACGATTTTTTTTTGAGGGGGCGAAGCAGACAACCATATGCTCCGGAGGAGTTCGTAGGATCCTGTTGGTTCACTGTTAGTTGCAGCTTGATATTGACCTATGTATAGGAGTTAATTACCTTGCAAACTTTGACATCTCCTGCAACTTCTGCCGCTTAACCGTACAAATAAAGTTGTGTGCCCTTGGGAGGTGTTCGTGCATCACGTGGTGGAAAAGAGACAAAATGAATTGCATTGAAAACAACAAAACAAACAATATTCTGTTCGTTGCGGGAACTACTTGCTCCACAATGCTGGGGGTAGAGGCTTGCCATGCCGTCAATGGGGAGATGAACAAACATAGTCTTGCATGGTCTTTTTGTCGGAGGAAATGTTTGTCTGGTTTCAGACGCTGAAAAATGCTACTGGAGTGGATTTTTCCGGTTGGTTGGCCTCAAGAAGCAAGCCCCTTTCGTTTAGGCTTAAGCATTAGAGCTCTTAAAGGCAGAACAAGGACACACAGATTGACTCTTTTGTAGGGAACAACTTCGCCACTGAAACACCCAAAGTCAGGACAAAGTAGCTCTTGATTCCCTGCCCCCAAGCAGGCCAAGGACAGCACGTGCCGTTGAACCCGTGATTCCAAAAACATCGAACACCGCGGTGAGTTTGCTGCGGTGTTTTTGGCGCCCTTGCATCCACTGGGCTACCCAAGCAAAGAGCTTCTTGGGGTTGATGAACTCAGTGGTAAGGATCAGGAACCTCCCGAGGCGACTGCAACTCAGATGGACCCCTGGGCAGGGCAGGATGTAAAGAACATCAATCCCTCACCTTGATGAATGGGCTTCAATCATCTCCGTGTTGGGAAAGCAGTTAGTAAAGCAACAACAGGAGACAAACTCCAAATCCTGCAACACAGTCGGCTGCGTGATCCCGTGGGTTCAATATCCGCCGTACAACCTCCCAATTGGTCTATCCAAATCCATAGAATCTGCTGTATATGCATAGAATATCAAAGAATCGCAGAATCACCCATTTGCAGCCCAAAAAGACTTAAGAAGGAAAGTCCCTTTCATCACCCAACCAACCCATGACCACCCTTCTAACCATTCGGATCACAAGGCGCCTCCGTCGGCCCTCCTCGAGCTGCGACAGGCGCCGCAGCGCGGCGATCTCGCCGTAGGTCACGCCGCCTCGGGCGCCGGCGGGACGGAAGCCGCGGGACAGCGCACGGCGATCTGAAGAAACCGAGTGGTAAAGTGGAGCAATGTTTAAAGAAAAACAAAAACAACGAAGCGCTTATATATATATATATTATAAAATGTTTATAGATTGTAAATAATATGAAATTATCCCAGCTGGAGACCCCAATAGCAAGATACAAACCGGGACAAAAAGAAAAATCTGGAAACAGCTGCTGTTTTCAACACATCGACCATCTCTTCCTTGGACACCATCATCACATAACCGGGACACCATCACAAAATAACCAGGGCACCATCAAAACATAACCGAGACACCGTCACAACATGACTGGGACACAATCAAAACATGATCGGGACACCATCACAACATGACCGCGCCGCCATCACATGATCGGGACACCATCAAAACATGACCGGGACACCGTCACAACACGACCGGGACACCATCAAAACATGACCGGGACACCATCACAACATGACCGGGACACCATCACATGACCGGGACACCATCAAAACAGGACCGGGACACCATCGCAACATGACCGGGACACCATCAAAACATGACCGGGACACCATCAAAACAGGACCGGGACACCATCGCAACATGACTGGGTCACAATCAAAACATGATCGGGACACCATCAAAACATGACCGGGACACCATCAAAACATGACCGGGACACCATCAAAACAGGACCGGGACACCATCACAACATGACGGCGCCACCATCACATGATCGGGACACCATCGAAATATGACCGGGACACCGTCACAACGCGACCGGGACACCATCAAAACATGACCGGGACACCATCACAACATGACCGGGACACCATCAAAACATGACCGGGACACCATCAAAACAGGACCGGGACACCATCACAAGATGACTGGGACACCATCACATGACCGGGACACCATCAAAACAGGACCGGGACACCATCACAACATGACCGGGACACCATCACATGACCGGGACACCATCAAAAAATGACCGGGACACCATCACATGACCGGGACACCATCACATGACCGGGACACCGGCACAACACGACCGGGACACCATCAAAACATGCCCGGGACACCATCACAACATGACCGGGACACCATCACAACATGACCGGGACACCTTCAGAACATGACCGGGACACCATCACAACATGACCGGGACACCATCAAAACATGACCGGGACACCATCAAAACAGGACCGGGACACCATCACAACATGATTGGGTCACAATCAAAACATGATCGGGACACCAGCATCACATGACCCGGACGCCATCAAAACATGACCGGGACACCATCCGCCCACCAGCTCTGACGGTGACCCGACGGCGCCCGTCCGCCCATTAGTTTTGCAAGACCCCATAGCATGGCTATTGGGGAATAACATATAACAATAACATTGTTTAGAATTGTGTAGATTTAAAAGAAAGAACTGGTATGTGTTGCAAAGCTGATCTTAGGGTGCTCTCCACGACCTGAGACAAGACCTATGCCAACCCAAGAACCATCCCCATCCAATAATACAGTGGGTTTCAGAGTAGATGGGACAAACCTCTTCGTGTCTTTTAGATGGGGGTCCATATGAACTGTTGCGCCTCATCTACTCTCAACCCAGCAATAGGTGGCTTAAGGACTACATTGACCCGCGGCATGGTGGTCCCACTAAGGCACACAGCCCCCCATTTTGCCATATGATTGCCTTGACTGTACTTGTCTGACTTGTCTTTTGAGAAAAAATGACCAAAGTGATCTGCAGATTAGATCACAGATAGGCACAGATTAGATTTGATCTAGTCAGACAACAGATCAAAAGCGCACTGATTTGCAAAAAACAGTTGTGCAAAAACCTGGATGGCATCCAGTTGAACACACAGATTGGCACAGAATCACCCCTCCACCAGGCCTCGACCCAGGTTTGGATCCGTCGCGACCAGGGTGGGTGTGTTCCAAAGAAAAACGACACAAAAGTCAAATGCCCCGTGTCAACCCAAAATGACCAAAAAGCTCAATCATTATCAGGATGTTGTTTCAACTTATAGATATAGTTATATATAACCATCTATCTATCTATATATATATTCATTTTTTCTTTAAAAAATAAACTGCCCTGTCCTGTCAAACAGCAAATTTGACACCCAAACCTGTCCTCCATGGGTCCGTCCTCCGGGTCTCAACACCCCCTCCGGTGGCGTTCGTGTTCCTCGCTTTGCTCGTCAGTCCGTCGGTGTCAGGGGTGGAGTTCGGAATGCACAAACAATACAAAACAATACAATTCCATGTTTGAGTAGATAGAAAAGAAACCAATCCGACAACATGCTTCCGTTTTATTCTATCTACTCCAGGAAGACTCTCTCTATTTCATGATATTCCGTCAACGGTAGTAACCGGTAATAGCTCCGTCCCGCAATCAGATCATCTGCAGCTCAGGAAGGTTTTTCGACGCCAAGATTCCAAGGAAGCAGACCAGCACCGTTGCAGGCTTGGTGGAATCAGGCCTCGTGATTCAGACAAGTCCATGATGTCCATTGTGTTCCCAGCGGCCGGGACATGAACATGGTTTTCACCAAAGAGTGATGGAGCTCACAGAGGCTTACTCTCCCAAGGGCAAGGAATTGTCATTATCAGACTTGCAAGGCTATCCCAGCAACCTGTGCCTTGCGGTGTTCTGAACAGCGTTCTGAACTCAGAGCTCTTCAAGAGTGAGGTTTTGTCCCTCCGGATAAAAACCGATGTTCCTCTTGATGTAGAGGAAGGGTAGAAGAAAGGGTTGTCTGGGGATCTCAACCGCCACGGGTTGGGTCTTCCCCCGTTAGATGGTCGGCCCCAGTATGTTGCAAGACCACGTTCCTGGGCTCTCCAGCTCCTTCGCCGGCTGCTGCAGCTCCTGTGAACCAGGAGAGGATCTAACTGATAAACACCTAATTTGGTGCCCGGGAACCAACTGAAAATCAGGATCCACCTGTTCTACCTCGCTCTCTTCAAGTCTTGTGAGAAAGAAGCGGTACACAAACGCTCTGTACAACCAAGGGCATCATTACAATGGATTACTGCACGACAACATGGAAACCGATTCACTGAGTGAGCAGATGATGCAGCCAGGGTGAACTCGTTGCAGTTTGACATTTGAACCACTTGGACTTGCTGTCTAGCACATCTGTATTGTCCCTTGAAGAAATGATCTTTAGCTTTACGAACATCCACATAGCTGTATGTGCCGGTGAAGTGGGAGTGTTCCGCTTCTGTTCAAACAACTTGAGGGAAACCGGGAAACCTTCATGTCGGAGGAAACACCAATGAGGGAGTGACGAATGTAGGATCAAAAAACACCCCCCAAAAAAACGATAAAAGTTGCCTGTGACCACCGGAGTGGAATCCTCCCAGCTGGAAGCTTCATGGACCCAAGTGAACCAAAAACATGTTCTTTGGGCTTCTCAAGGCACACAGCAAGAGCTAACATGCATATATATATATATATAATATATATATACACACTGTATCTGAGTGATTGCAATGATGACAACCCAAGAAAAACACATGATGTCCTTCTTGCCAAAATTCCGATTGCAACAAACATCTAAGTTCCCTCAACCCAAATCGCACCATTGGACGTTCTTACTTCCAAACATGAGGTCATTCAGGTTCTCGCTACGTGCTCCCTTCGCAAGAAGCTAGTAGGTAGCTCCTGGCATTACTAGTAACAAGAAGCTACGAGTAACAAGGACCTCCCAGGACCTCCCAAGACTCCTGTGCTGGGCCATGGAGCAAGCTCAAGGCCTCGGAGGCAGGCCAGGCGCGGCCGAACGGACGAACAGACCTTGTTTTGCATGTCAGGTGTCCCGGTGGTTTTATCTGATTTTTTGTAGTGACTTAATGGGGGGACCCTAGTAGAATGAACTGGACACGAGCAAAAATACAACGTTCCTGTCTCGGACTGTGTCAGTGGCTGGGATTGTGATAGAATGTTCATCGTAAACACCTCACAATCAACGGAATTCACCAGCATGGCTTCTACAGTACATAAACATGCCACGCATTCTGCAAGCCTGAATCGTCGCCAGCTCCATTTTGAGGCCAGTGCATCCTTCACTGCAATCCATCCCTTTGGTTGACTCCTCCGCTCGGTGGTCTCTTCGCAACAAAAAGGCCTACCGCCTCTTAAGGCCTGGAGCTTTAATTTCTGGTCCACGAGCCAATTGAGAATGATATATATATATATATATAGAGAGAGAGAGAGCTTCTGAAAGATCAGGGAATCCTTCTCGGACATTCAGGTTGTGCACCGGATGAAACACACCATTCCGGTTTGCTCTTTGTATCTGGGGCCCCTTCTCTCATGATCCTGCGCAAACGTGTTCTCAAGCTAAACCATCCAGTTCCTAAGAACCCTGACGAAACCTAATGAAGAGTCAATGAAGAGGTTATATAAATCCAGTTTTGAGGTTCCGGAACTGAATCAGATTGTATCAGATTTAACAGAAGAGCAGCGCGCCAGTTTCTATCATGGACACCAAAAAGCCAGGTGCGCGAAACCCGTCGGTTTCGCGGCTTTCCATCTGACCGGTCCCCACCCATGGGTGTCCTCGTCATCTGCACCAGGCGCACGCTCAAGGGTGCATAACCTCAACACAAGTCCCTCCGGCACCGAAGCACGTGCACACACACCCCACGCACAAAAGAAAATGACGCCCGTAGTGAACACCCAAAGTCGCGTTTCCCAAGTGTGGGAAGGCCGCATGTCGCTGACACCGGGCAAGTTGGGCAAACATCAAGAGGGTCATGACTGACCATCAAGAGGGTCGGATGGGATGATGCGAAGGTGCGGCTGAAGCTTCTTCTCCGATGAACGTTCAATGTGCGTCGGCAACCCAGACAGGATGAGTTGATGCAAACGTGAGGACTTATGTGGCGCAGGACAGGACCTGTCGAGCTTGTAGTTCTGTGTGAGATAAAATACAGGGCCATCTTCAGGGCATGCTGGGTATTCTGAAGTCTCCGGGCCTTTGGGCAAGTTTTCATAGAGCTTCCATGAACAGCTCCGAACTACATCCAGAACTCAGAAATCCCTGTCCTCCCCACCTGTCCCATTATTCTCTCTCGCTTGGGCAGCCCTTTAGAAGAAGCCTGGGCAGTCTTCTTTGCGGAGTCATGGGAATCTTTCCTAAACAATCAATTGGATGGGGGATTTTATCGGTCTTGATGTTGCCTTCACGTTTTGACCAAATAGAAACTCCTAATTTCAAATAATGTCAAGATCTTTGGAACATTGCTGATTTTCATGCCAAGAACCTGATCCTTGTCAAAGGTGATTCAGTCTGTGTTTTCCTCAGATTCGGAAACCAACCCCCCAGCCATTGGCCACTGCCAGACTCGCCACTGCCAAGCCCAACCAAGCCCACGGCCACTGTACGCATAACTCACATCACGGTCTGCTAGGTCGTCCTGTCACCGAGGAGTATGAGACTTTGAGACTTGTGGCTCCAACATGAGACTAGGTCGAGGCAGGTTCTTGCGTTGGGTTGATGATGGTTCTTTACACATGTTCATCTGTTTGTGTTGCGTGTGCGTAAAAGAAAAACGTCACCAAGATGTTCGTTGTTGGATAATTGTCGTGTTACGATGTAGTGTTCTGTACGTTCTCACGATGCAAGCCTTCGGCCGCCTTCGGCCACTAACGAAGTCACCGCCAGCGAGTTGTGACTCGTACCGCCACCGGTCACCACTCGACCCAGTCACGTCTTCGAAGGCGCACGTAGCCACCTACCCAGGTCGCAACCAGTGGCCTCAACGAAGAGGTTGAACTGACGTTTGATGCTGCCCCTCAGGCTTGGCACAGGTGAAACCGAGGTTCACCGGCTTTTCACTCTGAAAGAAAACACTGAAAAGATAGTTTTAGTGACTTAAGACTTAAGGTTGTGTGCGTCACAACTGGCCATGTTCAATTCATGGGTTTACCACAAAACAAGAAACAAGACAAAACACATAGAAACACACTATATGCTCCATGTGTTCCCCCAATCCCATGGTCCATGTGAAGGTGTGGGCGACACCAAAATGCAACTTCGTGTCAAACAGGGAGGGCCGCCACCATCTTAGATGATTGAATGATGTCAACAGATTGCCTCCTGAAGAGCTGTGCTCTATGCTTCATAGGGTGACCGCAAAATAGAGAACAACTGAAACGCCCGTTTGGACATGGCAAACCAAGGCTCAAAAGCAAAGGATATACAAGTAGGAGTTGACACACAGAGTAGATTTGACCAATGTGGCTCAAGAACCTGCGACATGGATGAAACAAGCTTAAGTTTGAGGGCTTATCAAAAGCGTGCCAAGAAATTGACGCTCTCCCTCCCGAGCTCTCCGACAAAGTGAGAATTGGCTCAGTTCGCCCACTTCCATCGCTAGCGATCCACCCGAAATCTGCTCATTGGACATCAGAGCGGGCCAATCTGTGGCCCTGGCCAACCCGACTTCCCAATCTGTGGTCGCAAGAGGCCTGCACCTGAGGCAACGAGTCAGCTTACTTGGAGGACAAAAAGGACCAGGGTGGTACAGGACAGCCCAGTATGGCCAAGCCCATGGAATTGCTGCTTCTTGAAAGTGCTCCACCAATGCTCCTCATGGTGGCAGGGGTACACTCCACCTTCGAGGTACTACAGGGGGCCCTCCAGGGTGAGCCCAAACCGGGACAAATGTCTGGGATCCGCCTGGGCGGTCCACCCCGACCGAGCGTTCCAGTCGGCTTGCCATGACGGGCGATTGGGAGGTCTCGAATCCGAGCCAACCAAAGCTTGGGCGGGTCAGGAATAACATTCAAAAAACGAAGCCAATCAAGGACACCCGACAAATTGTACAACGACACTCTGTCTCCGTCTCCCACCCCTCACAAACACACCGAGAAGTTCTGCGCAGACTCTGGGGCCCAAGACTCTCCATGTTCTCCAGGGTCAAGGTGTGCTCGAAACCATAGGACCTTGATTTTTGCTGGACTCATCACATACTGTGACCTCGTAGTTTTACAAGAAAACTCCGAGCGGTTTTTTTCTAGTTCGGTTCGCAGTTGCAAGAACTGAGACGATCCTCGCTGTTCGATCTATTCGAGTGGCCCTACTCAGCTCCCGATCACGTACAGGAAAGGCGGTGGGGGGGGACCGTCCAATGCGCTGTCCTTGGGGGGTTAGCTCGAACAGAATGCTCTACCGTCAGATATATGTCCTATTCTTGTTGAAGGATTACAGTATCCCAAGTGTTCATGAGAGCATGATAGCTCTTGAATATTGAACCCTATCCTCTTGAAGTATTGCACCAGTTGGTAGCTGGATGTAGCTGGTAATGTCTTCCATGAGTACCAGCCGACCAGTTCGTCTGGACCGAGCGAACACGCGACCGGGCTACGTCTTCGCCGCACAGGCGACCGAACAGGCGACCGAGGTTTTTCCCAGTGACCTGGTGGTCTGATGTGGTCAGCTCCACTGATGTGATCATCAGAGGTCACTGGGGGCCTCTGGAACCTGAAGAGGTGCGATTCAGAGGACCCTTAGAGAGGAATTTCCAGATTCGAGAGTAGGCAAGTTGCCAAAAAAAAAAGATGCAGGTGTCATGCCATTTACTGATCGCGAGTAGTGTATCTCAACCCTGAGATGGCAACGCAAATGGAATCAAATCGGTGAATCTTTTCCCACAAATACTGATGTCTGGGCTACTTGGGTAAATATATCTCAACACAAGGGGTCTAACGCGGTCTCCCAACGTATTGCTGGTGAAATGGAAATTATAGTGGTAACATTTCGCGCATGTTCACACTTTCCCCGTACTTGAGTCCCCGTACGCCCGAAAAGCATTGTGTCTCACGCTTGAAAACTGTGTCTCACTCACTCCAGCGCGTGCTTTTGGGCCCCCACTGCTTGAAAGCGGTCTTCAGCGGGTCCAGTTGCTGCTTCTAGCACAAATCGCTCCGTGCTTGGTGCTTGTGGCCCGTGGGGGTGCCTTTGAGGCTCAAAAATTGATTGGTTTTCAAGTTAGTTGTATCTAAGTACCTTCATGCCGGTCAGTTTGAATGACACATCGCGAAACTAAGGAAACCCCAATGAACGAAACCACAAACAAACAAGGCCTTCGGGACTGATGTGTGTTCCAAACTTCTGCGGGTGTGTGTGATCCTCTTGAAATATGTGGAGAGGTGAGGTCTGAAAGGTTGTTACTATTGCCATGCCTTGTTCGGTTTCTCTATGTCCTTGCTTCCAAACAGGCGACGGTGACTCCCTTCCCAAATTTGGCGAAAGAGAGTGAAACGACCACCATTTTTCAGCGGTGACTCTCTTTTGGTACATATAGTCTATACATATGCATATTTGCCTAGATCTTCCAACTGTCCAAAATGTCTGCCCTTTTCCTGGTGTTTGAAGGCATAAATTTCTTGTGCACAGTTGGAAGAGCCAGATATATAACCTTCAAAAGCTTACGTGTGGGTTGCTGCTGTTGCTTGAGGAGCAAAGTATCTGTATTTGCTAGTACGATCTATTACCATCTTAGTATGCTTCATTCATTCGATCCCCCCAAGTCCAGTTCCTGCCCCAAAACCAAAGCCCTTCTTCGCCGAAGCCTGGCCCCCCCGTCTTCGCCGGCGCCTTGATGCCGTTGTTCACCAAAGAATGCAAACAGAGCAAACGCAGCGCCTCCGGTGCACCCGTCCGGGCGCGGCTTCGGAGACCCCCAGGCACCTGGTCTTTAGTGCCAATGTGAAACGAACAAAGGAGGTGTGATTTATTCATTCAATCCAATGTTTGGGTTTCAGATGGATCCACTTTCTGAAACCCCTGCATCAGGGTCATAGCGTCTGACCCTGATGGGTTAGAATGTCCAGAGAGCCTCAGCCTCAACCTCACGAGGACAGAGCTTGACATGTTCCCTATACCCCAAGGGTGCTTGGCACATGTATTTAGGCACATGTAACCGTACATATATATATATATTTATTTATATTTATATATATATATGCATATTTTGAAAAGTTTTCCATTGTCCAATGATTTCACCTAAACATACCTAAACTACATATGTTTTTGCATACCCTGTTGAGTCTGTTGAGAGCCACCAAACTGCTCCAATGGTGTGTATGATGTTCAAGTCACTCAGCGCGCACTCACAAGAGCTTTATGATATTTCATTTGGTCTTGCTGAATGCATCCAAAACCGTATTTCCAGCTTCTTGTCAGTACGGAAGAACAGCTGGCAAAACCATGTCTCTTTCCAGATCTTCCATTGCGAGAAGAAGGGATTCAACTGTGGTGTTTAGTTGCCTATCAAGAGGAAGCTGGAAGGGTGTGCAAATGGATGCACCCCACCAAGACCCCAACAAAAGATTCAGCCAACATCCACAAGCTCGCAGTAGAACGGGCCACATCTGATTTCAGCGGCTGAAGAGCCCACCTCGTGAAAGGGCTTTTGATCATCCATGATCGCCTCGCACGGGGTGGGGTGGGCGCTTGGTCCGCCCGCGTTAACCCGTTTTGGTAGGGACTGTAGCCTCTATAGCATCTGTCTATCGTTGGTAACTGTCCTTGGCAAGAGGAACCGGCAGGGACCATTGACTGATGCCATTGGGTTGGGATCTGATGGTAACCAAGCACGAACGTCCATCCACTCTTCATACTACTCACCAAGCATCACCAAGTCTCGGAAGGCTCGTGCCCTATCTCCATCGGAGTTTGGACTGTTCCAGGACCCGAGATGGTCCAAGGTGCTTCGATGGTCCAATGATTCTTTAACACCTCTTCTTGTGAATCCAGTCTAGAGTTCTTGATTTAGAAACTCTATAATGCCTGGTTTGTCGGTTCAAGAGGGGGATCACTTTTCCATCTGTTTGCGGGATGATAAACCTCCTCATGTGGTCCCGGTCGGGGCCCGGGGATTCTTCTGCAACGCTTTCAGTGTCTGAAGGTCTTGAGCTGCCGGCAGGGCTGGTCCAGCTGAATTCCCCAAAATTTGTGCCTTGATACATTCGACCAGCCAGCCAATGACTGGTTTGGTCCGGTCCATGTCCCGTCGTCGCTTTACAGCAATGGCTCCCTCATGTTCTTGGCAAACCCACAGCCCAACGAAGCTCCCCGGTCCACCACCTGCACAGTCTCCAAACAGCTGGTGGAACTGGTGCTTTGGGCCGTGATCTCATCCTGACCAGTCTCCCCCGAGGGGACGGGTCAAGAGTTCAGAATCTTGAAGCAGTAGATTTGGGATGTGGGATGGTGTGGGATCCTGAAATCCTGCGGCTCATGGGATGTGTTTTGTCACAACCATGAAGAGAAAATCAGAACAACCCCCTCCAACCAATAGACCTCAAGGACCTCCAACATCCTCCAACTGAGTTGGGCCCAAGAATCCTCCACTGACCCCCTCCGTTTCCCTTTTAAGAAAATCAAGGTTAACATGTGTTGCACCTGTTCCTTTAGAATGGGGAAACCAGTCCACCAAAACAGGTTTTGCAGGTGATCCACTCTTCCTAGCTGGGCCTTGCTGAAGTCCAAGTAGCTTCGTGAAATTGGCAAACAATGAAACCACCTGCCCACCGGCCCACCGACTGGGTCTGAGGGAATGTCCAAAAATGCCTTAAAAATGCCACAGCTTCAAGGACTCCCAAAACTTCTGTTCAGGGATCTTCAAGGTGATTCCATAGAGCAACTGATTAAGGCATGATCAACGTATCTCCCTCCGCTGCCCCCCAACACCCTCCTCCAGCTTCAAGAGCTGACGATACTCCTGGGCTCAGCAGACGCGATCTTACTCAGACCATCACCGCGGCGGACCCGCAACAGCAAACGAAAAGGCCGGCCGATCGTTCTCGTCCTCAGACTGGATCTTCTCGTTGAGGTCATGAGCTAAGTTGATGTAGACTTCCAAGAGTGGATGTGCCGACCTCGGGTTACGATGACGAGTCCTGCTATGGATTTGTTCGAACCAACCGGAAGACAGTGAGGAGGATGAGATGTTGGTGGGTGCTTGTAAGGCGAAAACAAAGGGAGGAAGGCCTCTTGCAACCCCGAGTACCTACTTAAAAGCACTCTCTTAGTTTTAGTTTAAAAAGAATAAACATGTCGGAAACCACTAAATACGGTTTATTTTTGTGTTTAAATTACCGCCCTTTAAAGCCGCTACTAAACTACCAACATGGCCGATTTTTGAATGTTCTTTTTAGGTTCCAAAAACAACCCTAATTGCCCACCTGTCCACCCTGTCTATCCACCATGGCACGCCGCGTTTACACCAGTAGGTGTTCCTTCCCCCAAAAGCACGGACGCTTTAGTTGCTAGTCTAATGAAGAATCACAATTTTTAATAAAGGTCTTTGTAAGGCGAAAAAGGAAGACCCTTCGATCTGGAGGTTTTGTTCAATTTTTGCTATCTGTTTAATAAAGGATGTTATTTTAAAAAAGAATATATAATATATATATATATATGTGTATCCTGGGTGACTTTTTGGTTAATCAATGATTCAAGGATCCTCCCACTGACCCTATTTCGGACAACCCCGACTTCAGGGACCCCCTATTAAAAAGATGCACCCGAGTGTTTGTTAATGGGGGGGGCCGTGTCATTTAATAGGTGGAGGGAATTAGTGGCCAAAGAGTGAGCACTGTCACTTCACACTGCAAGGCAGATTGTGTGTGTGTGTTGTTTAATGTGTTGTTTAATTCTTTTTCGGAAAATGAATACCCTCCTATCAGCAGCTGAGAATGCCGAAGCTACATGTTTTGGATCTGCTTGTGGGGGCAAAAAAGAACCAGTTTTTTCTCTCCTCAGCCAAGGCTGCTGAGCACTTTTGAACTTCTTGATGTACTCCGTCATCTCTGTGGCGCTCTTCACATTGTCCTGTGCACCGCCCGATCGAATTCCACGCACGTGCGAGAAAGGGCGAGGTCGTGCGCTCCTTCTCGGAGTAGGTCTGCTGGATCGCCCGGGCTTTCTCCTGGAAACGAAGATAGAGGAGGAGACCCTACTCGGCCCTTAAGAGAGAGGGCGGCAGGGCCGCAGGTGTGAGCGCTTCCTGTGATCAGATGAACACCTGCGGCATGTTTGCAGGGCGAAGGCGCTTCCGTCTCCGCAAGGGTCTCCTAAAAAACTCGCCAACTTCTCGAGCCAGGTCTTTATCCAATCCCTACTGATGCCAAACGTGGCCGGTTCCGGGGGTTAACGGCTTGCCAAGTCCCAGGATTGCTCCACCTGAAGGAGGCCCACTAAAGTTTCGATATCAAACTCCAGTCAATAGGCCAAATGGATGGCAACTCCTCAGGCCTGCTTCCTCCCCTTAGACATCTCATAAATCATAAAGCGTGGTCCACAAGGTCTGGAACAGGTCTGGTGTTCCAGGTCTGCTAAGAATCTATGGAACAGCTCTGGACTCCATGTTTGATCGACCCACCTTCCGAGTCGTGCGTCTTTCGTCTTTCGTCTTTCGGTGCTTTCAATGGCCTCGAACGGAAGCGACTCGTCGAACGGAAGGATGGATAAGGCCCGCCACGGCCCTTTTCGGCCGGGTCTATGAGTCGCGACGGACTCGCCTCGCTCCTCCCTTTTCGACCCTCGCAGCTCCGACCACTTTCGGTGGGTTTCGGCCGAACCGGACGGCCGAGGATCGACACCGGACCGAACCGAAGAGCTCACCGCTCCGCTCCTGGAGCAGCGGCCCGAGCTTGTCGATGCGAAGGTCCCGGATCTCCTCGGAGCGTTCGACAGCTGGGCACATCTAGCAGCACAGGGGCAAAAGATTGGGCCATCTCTACTCACGAAAGGAGGCTGTGAAGGTGGAGGCAAGGCCCCAAACCATAACCCACAGTTGTCATCATGGCGGTGTGTCTTTACCCACCAAAACTTACTGCTATAAGTAAAACATCTGCAACGCCCGCGATGGGGGAAGGGCTCCACTTTTGGTCGGACAACAGCAATACATAAGGCTTGAAGAAGGCGTCAGGAAAAACCTGCTTCTCCACTGAGGTTCCCTGTGAGTTTCGATGGCCAATCTCCACATCTCCTACTTGGTCAATGGTTGGAAACACTCGCAGCCCAGGAAAGGCCCACGCCCCAAGCACAAGCACCCTGCAAATTGCTGGCTTAGGATCCTGATACAAGGCATCCTCCGGTGAGAGCCGCACTGACCCACGACTTTCACTCCTCTCCTGCAGGAGTCCATTCTCGCTCGGAAAACATGGTCGAGTTTCAGCCCAGCAAATGTGTCAGGCTTCAGGAGTGAACTTAGCTTCCACCTCGTGGGACAGGACAGAACCTTCCAAACCTTCCTGAGATCCAGGCCCGCCCATATAAACACAAACGAGCCATGATCGCGAAGGGTGACCTGAAAGGCGACCTGAAAGGTGAAAAGGTGAAAGTCATGCCTTGACATCCTGCCACCAACCGAAAGCGGAGAACCTCGTTTCTCAACTGGTTAGCCAGTTAGACTGCTGCCTCTAGGCAGCCGCAGCCTGTCAATGGCCCAGCAACCTTCGTAGTAGATGTCCACTTGAACATTGGAGGACCTCTTGGTTACCGTGATAGAGTTGACAAAAGATCCAGATACCCATCCACAGCGGGAAAAAGGGCAACACCAGACTGATGACTGATGGTACAACCTATCGTTCTGGGATAGTGAAAGGGATTCACCACTAGGGGATTCGCCGCCAAGTTTTTATGCTGATTAGATGGCTGATGTGAATGGCACGCGATTCTGCGCTTCAAAAGCAGCCCTGATGTCCTTCGCCCAGGAGGCAGAACTGATGTCAATCCTCAGGTGGAAACACTGGGTGCAGAATGGGCCAAAAATTGCAGACGTTCAAGGTGAGCTGGGAAGGGGAGATGGTTCGGGATCCAGCATTCGCTTGCGACACAGGTTTGCCGATCACTTGTGACACAGACCAGCATCACCAGCATTATGGGTGGGGCGGGGTGAGTTGGGGTGTCCTGACGTTCGAAGCCACTTGCAGACCTGCACCTGCACGCGATCTTCATCACCATCATCATGGGTGGGTTGGGGTGTGCAAATGTTCAAAACTACTTGCAGACCTGCACGGAGCCGCTGGTCATCACAAAATCATGCAAAATCTACAAGGGCAACTCATCGAAAGCACATGTGGCAAGGTTCATGCTCCCTCTCTTGGATTTGACATCACTGTACCGCAAGAACCCAGACCCAGGCGGACAAGAATAACACATGTCGAAAATGTTTCACCCCCCACAATAAAACTAAGAATATTTTAAAAAATAATATAATAATAATAAATAAACAAAAATAATATGCATATATGTATGAGATCACATGGGTCAAACCTTCCGAGCAATTTCATACGTGGTAAACCGGGGTGTTTTTGTCCAGTGGCGAATTCCGGACGTTCCGAGTGTGCCCAGCGGCGAATTGTTCTGGATGCCATAGGCAAAGTCGATCAGCGCCTGTGGAGGGGAACCCCCCCACACGAAGAACCTTTGAAGGGCATGCCAGGCAGCTAGCAGAAAAGAACCCCCAGAACAATCGCCTGGGTGCAAGCACCCATGGTGCTTGTGGACGCAACGGAGTTCTGCTGGAGAAGACACACACCATACAGGACGAAAAGTAGACCAACTCCTGACCCCAGATACTTTAAAGTTGCTGGAGGGCTTGTTGGACTTCAAAGTTCAATCCAAACTGGAAGGTCCTCCAAGAACCCAAGAGTCTCATGATGACTTCAATGGTTCTTAGACCCTGCCAGTGAATGCCTGAAAACCGCCTCCAGCACCCGACTCTGGCTCCCTGCGTCGCCTGGTAGGTGAACTGTGAGCAAAGCACCGAAAACAGATCCACCCGCCGGTCGATCACCACCTGGTGGACTCGGAATCTTGGGCAAAATCCCAGATGACGAGTGTCCTTTTGAACGAACAATCAAGAACCATGTTCACAATGAATTAGTCAATGAGAATCGAGAATAGACAATGAACAATGTTGAAGGAACAAATGTGGAGAGGGCGCAAGAATGAACACCCTGTGAGGTCGCCCTCTTTGGACTCTGTAATAGAGGGGCTTGATGAAAGGGACGAAAGGGACGTTCCATGTGTCTACTTCAGCTGGGAAAGCAGGCCTCGAAACTTCCTCAGGTTTTCACAAAGTGGATCTGTCAGGCAGTGCAGAGCTGCTATGGCAGTTGACCAAGTGCTTCAGACCACGAAATCAATAGACCATATAGAACCCTTCATTGACTCCTTAGCAGCTGGCAGGTCAAGGGTCGTTCACTCAGAAGTGTCACCGGTGCATGGCCACCATCTGTGGGGTCTGCGAGCCCTCAAGTTCACTCCCAGGAGAGTGGAAGTGCAGCAGTGCAAAAAAGGTTTAGGCCTTCCAGATCAGGACTAATCAAACTCCTCAATCTTCACACCCCTCGTCTTCACACCAAGCGAAAAAACAGACAGATAAAAAACATGCGCTCGCGCGCTTAAGCACGTGCCACCCAAAGTTCTGCCTCCATCCGACCAAACGTTCTGCCGAGACCAACCCTTTTCTCATCACGAAAATCGGCCCCCGCGCCATCTCACTGATGGAGCTCTTGTCACCGGCTGACTCCACCTGCCGCTCGAACGAACGCGGCGAGTGAGAGCGGCAGCGCAGAGTGGCGCAGAGTGGGGAGCTTCAGCAGCTTCTTCTGCGATCCCCATTTGATGGATCAACGGTTGCAAGTTCCAAAGAAGAGGCAGCCGCATGGCACCTATTCTATGCCGAATGGTTCATGACATTCACTGATGTATTATGCACAAGGTGGGGCCCATCAAGCTTGAAACACACAAAAACTCGAAGAGTACTATAAATAGTATGGATCGGATAGAATATATGGAACGTCGTGTTTGGTTCTTGCTGGACTGCACCATGTTCTTCCAACTCGGTCGCGGTCGTGAATCGTCTGTGTTGGACCGGTTGAACGATCCTTGTGTTGCCTCCGCCGGTTGACCCCCCCCCCCGGTGACGCGGATCGGCGTGTTGGACCGGTGCGTCGACGTCGAGCACTCGGTCTTTGGATGTTTTTGGAGGCTTGGTGATGATCGAACTCTGAGCTTCCACGGTGCCAAGCGCCCATCTTTGTATCTTCCGTTGTTGGCGGGAAGAGAAAGTGGAGGTGAAGCAGCTTCGTCGGTCCTTGCCCATCTGCCAGCATTTGGGATGGGGATCGGGGATCGGGTCCGAGATGGCTGGAAACACCGGCACCGGGTCAAATTGCACCTCGCGTTGGCCCTTACAATTCTCTCATTCCGAACTGTCAACCTACCCGGACCCACCCCCAGAAACCATCCCAGTTGCCGCTCCCTCATAGGTTGCCACACACATACAAAAATAGAAACGTGGCGTCACGTCGCTTCTATCAAACGTACTCTTCCGAACCCATGCGGATCCAACAGCTGGATTCACCAAGAAATGTGCGACGCTCTTCCGATCGCCTCTGCAGCGATTCCTGTCCTCAGTCGCCGAGAAATCGGAATTTCAACCCTGTCGGATCGTGCAACCTGTAAGCGAAGAGGCTGAAACCCACGCCCTGATAAACCTCCTTGGAACCACTACGGAGAAGTCCCAAACAGAAAAACCACCCATTTGGATGTTCAAAAAAGATGAGAATGGATAGACTCTTTGGAGCAGTAAGCTACAAAAACGCCCCCATGCCATCAGCTCTCGGCCATCATTTGGGGTTCCCAGCTCTCGGCCATCTTCTTTCCGCCTGGCACGTCGAACCCAAGACATCGCCGATTCAGAAGACCAGTCCAGGAGAAACATCCTAAGGTCCTAAGCTCTTCCCAAGGCAGGTATTTCCACCATGCCAGTCATTGCAGCAGCGCTGGCAGGGAGATCTTAACCTTTGACCTGGGGGTCTTTCTGCTACGTTTCAGCTTGGAATAATCGGTCAAAAAAAGTGACAAGGGGCATCATGTCGGATGCCCCGACACAAAAAAGTATAACTATATAATTAAATAACTATTTATATATATATATATATATGTGTTTGTCCGAACACCGTCCAGGCAAAAATAACAGTGAAATCATCATCTCCAGTGAAAGCTTGCAGTGTATAAGCCATCCCAGTTTCAGATGATGCAGCATGTACCTCTAAGGCATCCCCCCAAACCATTCCATAGGTGCTGGCAATAGGTGCTGGCAACGCAGGCAAAATCTGCTAGGTACATGACCTGCTAGCACCTGATGTTCGGGTGAAAAATATGTTGCAATATTAGATGCAATTCAATGTACTAAAAAATACCGTCAAATGTACATGTAGGAAGTCCTGTGCAGTGGTACATAGTGGTGCTCATTTCGACCCTGGAGAAGCTCGGTGGACGGCGACCCATCCTGCTGGTCACACGGTGCCGTGCTGATCCTCTTTTTGAGGACAACACAATCTTAACACTCTCTGTGTCGTACGATTTTGTTCTAAAAGTCGACCCACAGACACCAAAAAGAACTATATAGATAGATCCTAAATGATCCTACTGTAACATATCCTAACAAACAAGTTTGTGGATATGTGGACTACCAAACTCCTTTGGCTTTGCACTCGGCGTACGAAGCCCTCCGTTCGGGCGAAAAGGGCCTCATGGCGGCAGCTCCCTTGCTATACACGGCCACAGGTGGCACACCAGGCCTGGGCCATGGGTAGAGTTTTCCCCATCGGTTTCACCCGAGGAACACACGCGAGAGCAAGTAAAGAGAAGGGTCTAGTTGGGGGAGATCAGCAGATCAGCCTCGATCAGGTCTCCTCCGACTTACAGAAAACAATCTCATGAAGAGCCAACGAGTGGACTGAATCCTCCACCATCGTGCACTGGACTGAATCCCATAGACGTGTCCTTCGAGATGTTTGGATCTCTCTCTGAGACGATGGCGCTGACATCATGCAAAGCAGGGGAGCAACGAAGCAATTTGCCATTGAATGAACTCAGGCCGTGCCGCAATGATTGCAATGTCCCCACCAAAAACCTCTGAAAGCCAACACAAAGATTTGAAAGGCCAGTGGTTGGGGGATTCTCCTGTCCCCCTGAAGAAGGCATCTAGCACTGCCTGTCAAGGCGGGGGTCATGGCTACTTCGGTCCACAAGCTTTCTCCGATTCGGGGATGGCCGAATACACTGCCTAGTTAGGCCTAGTCAGGCGGCCAGTGGGTCCACATGCCCAAAACAGCTCTTGCTTTAGCCAGATGATCCACTGCCAAATCAGCTTCCCATGATCCACTGCCTTGCAAATTCACCCCCTCAGATGTTTGGCAAAGTCACGAAACGAGTTGGGAAAAAAATATCTCAACCAACCTGTGTTATTAGTGCCAAGACCTAAAGGGGTTTGCTCTTCCTCCGACGAGCAAACCCAAGCGGATGGCGTGGCATCGCTCATGGACGACAATTTCCCGAATTGCCTTGAAAACTATGGCCGAACGGAAGCCAAGTCAACTTCGCCTCGTCGACAGTGCCGATTAGGTTTCCAGACTGTCGATTGGCAGCGTCGCCAGGCTTCTTCTTCGACTGAGCATCAAGACCCCTGATGGTACAAATGCCCAATATTAGCAAGATGGAAGCTGGTAGACCACTTCTGGTAAAAGGATAATCATTTGAGGATTTCAATCATTCATCTTTCCTGCGACCAATTATATACATTCATCCAAGACTGTATTGTGAGAGAGCTCTTGCACCAGTACGCTTTCCGAATGCAACGCATTAGAATTGCAATCTCTTGATCAAGCCCAAGGGATTAGATGGGGCGAGTACTACCCATCCAGTGAGTTGGAAAAGACAAAATCATCGGAGGCCGTCAGTTCCCAAATTGCAATGAGTACTGTCGTTAACATGTTGTTATATTATATACATGTATACATGTTCTCACCAACTGACCCCCTCCAACAAGGGCCCCAACAACGCAGGCCACGCTCGGCCTGTCCGGCTTGATTCTCCTTCCGCAGCCGCTGGATGGTGTCAACCACAATCTTCCCAGCCTCAGCTGCGGAGTTGAACTCAGCTGCCACAGAGGGCTGTCCCAATGGATTGAATCCAAACGACCAATTCGATGCGATTTGGACACATCGCAGCGACGTGGGCCCCCCTGCAGCCTCCCCTCCCGAACTCCCCCGTCCCGCTTCGCCGTCCGGAACTCGAATGCCCCCGGATCAGTCCCGATTTCGGGAACCGGGACTGGGACTTCGAGTGAGCTCGGAGGCCCTGAAGTAGGACATCTTCGCTGAGGGATTGAGGCAATGACCCTACCATTCACGATTCCAAAAATGAAAACGAGAATGGAAAAAAAAAAGGATGCGAATCGAGTCATTTCACGAGAACTTCAAACAACCGGCTTCCCTCGGTGACCTGTACCCTGCGGCCGGGGATGGGGAATGGGGGATGATGGGGGTCTTCCCCCAGCCGCTGCAAAGCCCTGACTAGAAGTTCCAAGGAGTCGAAGCTTCGGCCGAAGCACCGGCGGTTCCAGGCGTCCACCAGTCGCGCCACGGGTCTGGGGGGCCCAACCAGGCCAATGGCGCGGACGGTGGGAATGGTGCCGAAGGTCTCCTGCAGCGACCTAGAAGTGTCGCTGAAGAATCACTCGAAGTCGCCTTGAATGCCTTGCAATTCCTGACCACTTCGACGTGTTTCGATAAGAAATGAAACCGTCAAATTGTCAAACAGTCGTTCTTCGAAATTCTTGAGACTTTAAGACCCCCACAGTTTGAGTCGTTTGCCACCCATGGCCAAAGAACCCTGCTGACCTGCTGTTTTGGGACTTCTCTGTTCGACATCCCTTTCCAGCAAAGCCTCCCACCCTCCTTCCAGGCACCCGGGCATGATCCCGCGGGCCGCGTAGTAGGGGCCCGAAGGGTCATTCTCACAATGAAGGCGCTGGAACCTTGCAGCCGATGGGCGCAAGAAATGGCTCGCATGAGCTCAGTCTGATCAACCCAAGGGATCCTGCAGTGTAAAGGGTCTTGAATCAGCTGGCAGGTCCTTCTGATCAGGACCAAAAGGGCAACCACTGACCGGAAGAACCCCCAAACCAGCAACAAAGTTGCAGACGAACTGCACTCAAGCGATTGTTGATAAGTTGATAAGAGACTGGTGGCCTTCAGGTTGGCATTTTCTCCTTTTTTCAAGAAATGAATCCTCATAAACTCCCCAATCTTGTCATTTCTCCAAACAATCCCGTGTTGGGCGATCTCTGTCCATTGGTCATCCCATCCGCGGACATCCCCACATGGGGCCAAACGCGCGCGGTCGTCCCCGCAACAGGGGTGGGCTGCCGGACATCCGTGGCGTCTCCATCGAGAGCACATCCTGCGTGACTTGCAGCGAGTTTGCGAATTGCTTTGGAGGTTGGGGGTTTGGCAAAAGCATTCCCTTCTTGCTTCTTTTGTCAATCCCAAAGATTTGAACAACATTACCCTGGAGAAGGATGCTTGGCTTAGCTTGGCCCCTCTTGTTCCAAGAGGGATGCCACCGGGGCAGTCCCGATGGCAGGTGCATCTTCCAAATCCAATCGGCCCTACCCAGTGTTGCACTCAGTCTGCCAAGAGCATGTCACCTGGCGATTCTGTGCCAATAGACTGCCAATACACCCAGTCTGATTGGGAACGTTTCCTCGATCTATGTGGACATGTTGATGCCGACAGCAGGAAAGTCCAAGTGATGGGCCATCCGACCGCCAAAGGGAAAGCAAGGCAGCGACTACGGTGTTGATCATAAATCATATACAAGATGTTTAACTGCACATGATTGGGGATCGATATGTTTTATATGATGATGTATGTAAATAATGACAGAGCGGCAGGCCTATGATGTAGTCTTGCGGATGCAAACGAGTCTGTGTACATCAGTGTCCGATCAAGAATCAAGATAAGTCTTTTGGCTTCCAAGACTACTCCGAAGCCAAAAGTCCCTGGATCTGTATGCAAATCCTTTCTCATCACTTCTTGATCTTTGGCTGTCTGACTTCTTCCCCACTTCTGGACAAATACTGTGACATCCATCAATCAATCCACTTCAACACCATATCTCTTCCCCGCTCGACACACCGCCGGCCAAGTTCCACCTTGTCGGAGGGAAAGTGATGGATAGCACACTCTGCGATGCGAACATTGGCCTTCACCTGAACAGCGAACGGCTTTCCTGAGACACCGTAGGTAGCAGGAGGTAGGATCAAGATTTGGTTCAAGTATGGCCCACACGTTTGACCATGGGCTGTAGGAGAAACTCTGACCCACGCAATATCCTTTCACTATGAGACTTTCAAGCAATGGCCTGCCTCGTCGTTCCAGGCAACTTTCTCCCATACCCGCCGCGGCGCTGCGCTGGTCCGTTCTATTGGGCTCCCGGCGTGGTGCTGCGCCAAGCGCTGCTTGCACTGCTCCGTCTTCTCGGGAACAAAAACGACCACGTAGAGCCGATCCTGTAGAACTGAACGTCTCGGTGGTTCTTGAACACAGCGATACGGTGATTCCTTCGGTTCTCAAAGGGCTGACCCCATCAAAACCGAGTGCGGCATCTGTGGCCTCTCAAACCGAATCCTTTGCTGAAAAGACCTTCGTTGGAACCTCACCTTCGTTGGGACTCCGATAGAACCCTCTTTTTGTACAAACAATGTAGCAATGTTTGATTGAGATCTGAGATCCATATGTCACAGCGGTTTGGGTTACCAAAGGGGGTGAAACAGCAGCGGTGCAGCCAATTGTGTTTCGGTGATGTGTATATAAGTGGTACACTACGTCGCTTGGTGAACTTCTCTACCAACCAGCACACCCTCTTCCAGACTAACTAAGGGCCTATATACATCCATTCATCAACATCAACGGGGTCTTCTATCAAATCTGTCCGTGCATGAGTCGAAAAGGAAACCACCCCAAACACGGCCAATGAACACCACTGTGTTTGGGACTTGGTTCATTTGTTGGCCCCATTCCTTGTTCACCTCCACCAACGCCTTTTTCATCCTTTTTGCCTGTTCACCTTCACCGGTCCTTAAAGCCATCTACAGTACATAAATCTGCATGTGTATACATTTACAAAAAAAAACAAAAAGACTCACCAAACTCACATCCCTCAACTCGAACGGCCCATGGATCTACAGCTGTATAAAGAAGGGACTGAACAGCACCAGGTGCTTCAAAAAGAAATAATCATAAATTTGACGCGTTGCTCCACCTCTTAAACTCAACCATATCGCATTTGTTCTGGTCACCTTCTGTTCCTTCTCGTCCGCAAGGATCTGATTGGCGATCATCTCAATCAGGTCCTGAAAAGCTGAGTGTGAAGAAAATGGTCTCCAAAGCAAACAATGCCCAAGCAGTGTCACGCTAATCAGTTGAGAAGAAAAAGGAACAACGATCGGAACATGGAGAAAGAACCTGTTTTCTGGCGCAACAACTCTATTCTGAAGAAGTAATTCTAGTCACTCGCGATGTTTAAGAGCCAAACACGAGAACCATCCACCGACCTCTGTACTACAGCGGAAGCCAGCCCCTTGGCCACAAGCCGAAGTGTTGGGGTTCCAGGCCACACGCTCGCAACGGACTAAAAAGACCATTTGGGCACAGTCACTGGCCACCTGGGCACACAGCCGGGCACACATGCAGTTTGCCTGAAAAACCGGAGTCTTGTCTTGTCCCTTTTCGACTTTCGGAAGCAAGCGAATGTCCGAAATGGAATGCAAAAATGCAAGTATAGTCTAGTTGAAGCAAACCGATCATGGGAGACCTCAGGGACCGCAAAGAAACAAACCAGTGCAAAACAAGAGGGATTGGCAAATCTTAGCCATGTTTTATTTAGCTACCATCCAGGGCGCCTCAAGAACATCTGTCTTGAAATCACCGCCAAAAACAATTCTCGCCGCTGCCACAACAACAGAAAAGAAGCGGTCTCAACAATCAAGTAATCAGGTGAATGACTGCACCACCAAAGCTCAACTAAGACAGCGGCTGGTTGGTCTGACAGCTTGAACCTGGCACATTGGAGCGAAGAACACCAGAAGGCCTTGGTCTGTTTGAGGGGAATGTTTCAATATGCGAACCAGCTCGAACGCTCACCAACCAGCGATGAACACGGCGAAGTTTTTGGGTTGGACAGTGGAGCACGTCATGTCCACAACCTCATAGAGCCCTCTCAAAAGCCACACAAGTCACACAGGAAACTGGGTTACACACACTTACAGTAGTTGGACTTACCTTGGGGCGCATGGTGCTGACGATGGAAGGTGAGATCCAAGTTCTGGGAAAGTCTGGTTGTCCGCGTTTTGACTCACCCAATATTGCGCAAGCGTTTGACCCAATCATCTCTCAAATCTTGCACAGACTTCCTGCACGCAAATTCACCCAAACCCCAGAGTGTTCCACAGGTTTTCTCAGGGCTGTCGGCATTGATGTATTTTCCCGACATATGCTTCTCTGCGTCCCATCCTCCGCCCGCCCGCGTCCTACCCCTTGCACTCGAGAGATGGGAGGTTCAACGGCTGGCGTGCCCTGCGTTTTGCTTGCTCAAGGGGATGGGAGCTCACACCAACTCACACTCATCTGCTATCATTCCTCTTCTTTCCTCTTTTGCCTACACTCGTGACAAACGCAAAAGCTTCACATGTGGGGTTGTCCTTTAATGCAGCCATCCTGTATGTGCTAGGTTTCGTTGTTCATCTCAGTCTGCTGTGAGAAAAAACAACTCGATGGCCTGGGGTGTACCACCTCAGGGCCCCCCTCACCTCCGCAAGCTGACGGTAGGGGGGCGAAACAGCCGGGCCCTCTCTGGACCTTCTCCGGTGATGCTGGCAACCCCCCATACGGTCTGGAGTCTCGAGCTCGGACACTTGCACAACTGCTGGCATGAGATGAGAGCGCGTCAGCTTGGCGTTGGATGTTGGGAAGCATGAGATGAGGTGCCTTGGTGTGTCTTGGGGTGCATCAGTGGGTAGTGCTTCATTGTTCACACCCTTCAGCAGCGTGGAGTTCTCTTTTCGGAAAAGGCATTGGCACCTCCTCGAATGCCGTCCAGAAGCGCATCCAAGGACGACAGTTTCTCTTGCCGCTTTGCTTTGCCAGCAGAGCCATGCTTTCAGGAACTGGCTAACTCGCCCAGACCGTCTCGCTCCCGACGGTTCCATCTGAGCCTTTCGAACCGTCGAGCTCCGTCCCCTGCGGCATCAGCGAATGCTCGGTCTCTGCTCGTGGAGTCGAGCTCCGTCCCCGGCGTCGAGTCCTCATGGGACGGTGGCTTTGGACGGCCGCCTTCACCGGAAAAGGAGACCCCAGAGATGGAAAAGGCAACAAATGATGGAATTTTCCGAAGCAAACAATGCCATGCGCAACTCGGGAAAGCCTCTCAAACTGCTTTGACTCCCTGTCATTTGTTGTGTGTGTGCGTCTCCCCAGCCATATCCTTGGTATCAGGAACAGTAGATTATACAGTAAAGGACAGTAAAGGTGTGAGATTACCTGACCACCCCAAGACGGTAAATTATGTCTTCACATCACCTCCGATGGCACAATCCGAAAGGCACCATGGGGCCGCTAAGGTCCCTTTTGCACACTGTTGACAGACCCGCCAGGCGCTTTTGACGGGGCACAAGAAGGGATGCATTACTTTGGAAAAGACATCGTTGGATAGAAATGAGAAACATCCCGACAAACAAGACGAGTAGATGTTGAAACCAATGACAACGCAATGAACAAGAAAGAAGCAACAGCATGCAAAATCACCACCGAATTGGAAGACCTATCCCGTAGTACTCGCTGTTGGAACCCTGCCGCTGGTGTCACTGAAGCCCAAGAGAGGAAACGCATCCCTTGACCTCCAAAGTCGTCTCTACTGCACGGTCTCCGTAAGAAAGCAAGACATCCGCCGTGCTGCCATGTCTTCGACATCGCTGGGTGGCCACCAGAGCGCCCGTTCTGTGACAAGTGGATGACAAGCCACCCTGCTGGGATTTGACTCAACATTGTCTTCCACCTCCCGATCCGAAAACCCCCTACGCTCTCCTCTATACGGTCCCCACCCATCGGTGCGCTCTACGCACTCTCTCGCCCGGCGCACCACTGCTGGACGCCGTGATCCTTCAGGTCGCTGGGCGACACCACCAGGTCCAGGGGACCCACCTCAGGTCGCGCTACCGGAAAACGAGAACGAGGGTCAAAACGACCAGCCTTCATGAATCCATGGAAGCAAAGATCTCAAGAGTGAAGCAATGAAGCAGAAACAGAGCCATGCAAACAAGAAGAAATTGGACATGAAGGATTCCAAGGCTTTCCGGGCTATTTCTGGTCTTTTCTTTCGCTGAATGACTGTAGGGGCGATGCTGCGGGAAAAGCTCTCCACCTCTTCGGTCACTATGAGAGTCATTCTATTTGCCCTCCGTAGTGTGCCCTCATCTCGGGGCACATAGAGATCAAATAGAATCATCTCGTGCCAAAAACATGGGGATCAGCACGTGATAGGTCATGAACATTTCAAAAACAGCTTTGTAGACGCATAGCAATACAAAATGGGCTAAACTTAACCCAATATTGGAATCATTGATCCCGGCCTAGTTTCTTGTTTACATCTGGCTTAATTCGTACCCTGCACCCTTCACTTAGCCACCGAGCAATGGTGCTGTCCAGCAAGAGGATCTTCCGGCCCGCAACCTCCCATTTTGGTGCTTCGTGACCCCAAATCGGGTCCTATACAGGTCACCGTACGAGTCAAAAAGACCAAACTTGAAAGAACTGGCCCCGAAACCTGGGAGGCAGAACATGAGGACTTTCTCTTGCGTAGGCTTTCGATTAATAAAATCCCCTTTGGATCCCTTTGGCTCGTAAGACCTTTTCACATGGAGGGGTTTATTCATCAACATTCTACATGTGCCCAGGTGGTGCACAGCTTGCCACGCTCCTCGTCGAGCAAGTCCAGCAGCCGCCCGCGGACGTCGGCACGCACCTGGAGCTGGTCACCCCCAGAAGGGAACAAAACTGCCTGGCGAAAGGTGAACTGTTGGAGCGAAAAATGTGAACTGTTGGATTCCAACTGTTTGATTCACCTAGCTGACCTAGCTGTTGATGTATATAACTTTAGCAGGCTATTCTTTGGATTTCGGATGATTTCGGAACCCCTTTCACCCACCCAGCTGTGGTCCAATGAATCGATCATCAACGAGACCAGCAGAATGGAGCAACTTCTGGGATACCTCTTAGCTGTGCTGTGCCTCATATGGCCCACCAGCGGAATGGCCCAACAGCTTCTGGTTTTCTGTGGCGAGCAATCGCCCAACGGATCGTGAGGAAAAACAACACATTTGTGCAAAAGAGTCCTCGGCTGGCTGGTGCTTTTTTCGTTTTCGGGAATGACCTCACCCCCCACGAGAGGTATCAGGTCGAGAAAGATCCAGGAACCCTCACGAACCCGGTGGACCGGCGCGGTGCTCCGTTCGCCCAAGGCACGGCCGCCACGATCTCGGAGACGTCCGTCATGGCCGTTTCCGGCACGGGGCGCCGGTAACCGGCGGGCTTTCGTCGCACACCGGCGGGTGTCTTCGCATACGGTTGGGTGTCCAACGTTTGGGGGAAAGCTGCAGGGGTGTGGAAGGAAAGCTCTTGTGGAAGTGTGGCGCCGCGTTGGGGCGGCAAGGTTCTCTTTTTGGTGAGGAGGGGCGCTGGGGAGATATCCTGTAGAGGACTTATCTATATAACTTGAATCACTGGAATCTGCATCTAATGATCTAATGCAAGGGTGATTCATGGTGATTCAGAATTGCAGTTCGCAGGTCATGTTGATTGTGGATGAATCACCCCCCTTTGAGGATAGCTCTACACTACTCTCTCTCTCTCTCTCTTCTTTTGGGAGTGTGATCCATCAGTCAACAGGACCGATCTGACTTGAAAACTCCTCAAGGCCCGCGAACAGATCTCGGCTCGCGGCGAGTCGATGGGTTGCTGCAACCGGGTGGGTCATGGCACCGGGAAACCCTGCTTGATCCCCCTGAACCGGTTTGGAACAACTCATGACGACCTGACATGGTCAACCGTCACGTTGCTTTGGGGATCTGGGTCTTGATCCACAGCCATATTAAAAGAAATGAAACAACACCGAAGCTGAAATTGGGAAGCGAAATCTACAATGGACCCGCGCCAGGCGCGATTTCGAGGTCTGATGCCAGCTTCATCCAAACGCTGTGCGTCGTTGGGTTCCCAGCTTCATCGTGCGCTTCTGTCTGGTCCTCTTTCCTGCCTGCTAGGGCCCCTGATGTGGATCCCCGAAGATGGAGTGTCAACTCAAAGAATAGCAATGAGATGATGGGATCACCCACTACCAGTGGTGACCTTTGAAAAGCACCGTTCGGCTCAAAAAGGTGTTTTCTTGTAGAGTCCCAGGACCCAGGAAAATCCGGTGTCGAGAATCGACATCAGGTTCCACAAAATCATGGTTTTGGTCATGCTATTACAATGTTTCTGGTAGGACATACCCCTGTGTATTATGATTGTATATGCATTGTGTAGACGATGTATAGTCTCACCTTTCTGCTATGAAAAAACACCAAAAATCAAGATCCTGATCAAGGGACGTGACTTTGTTCACCATTGCGGAGCCCAAGAAAGAGGGCTGGCCCTGGAGGATTAAGAGATCGAGCACACTAGCTCTTGTGTGCTGAAGCCCTTCCCTTCAAAAATACATCAATAAGTTTTGGTGTCAAGTGGCTTCTACACCTGGAATTTCTTTGGTCCGAAATGGATTGGGTCCTCCTGTTCCCCTGTTCTCTGCGGGTGTCAGACTTTTGACCTTTGAGACCTTTGAGACTCGGTTCTGCCCTGCAACCCCTCCAAGCCATCCAAGCGTGTCCTTGTTGCCACCTGGCAACAAGGTGGCGGCTTGGCAAAGGGTATACCGGTATGCTCAAATAGCCAAGATGAAAGCGTGATTGGATCAGTTAAATGGGTGTGTATTGAGGACAAGGAGAACTCCGCATAGACCTTTGGGTAAAGAAAAAGTAGAATAAAGCGCATTGGTTGCGGCTTGTCGTTATATTTCTGGTAGACCAACAAGTGAAAGAACACCTGCTTGATTGAGGAGAATCGTCTTCTCAGTGGCCATGCCATCCACCAAGGTGTACTCCCGGAAAATGAACGACCCTGAAACGGGACTGCTCCCAATCGTCGAGCTGCGCCACCCTCCAATCCTACAAGTATTTGGACATCCTACAAGGACTTCTGGAAGAGCAAAACAGGGCCCGCTGTCTAACAAATCGGTGCCCGAATCAATGGTTCTCTTTCCAAGAAGTCTTCCTTCACAGAGAGAGAGACCTTCGAGATGCAAAGTCCAATGTCCATTGATGCGCGACTCATGGATCTTACGACAAGAATGTCACCTTGACATGAAGGCAAAGCAGTATCTGTAGCCATCCAGCGAACGATGCAATCCAAGAACCAATCGGAAAAAATTCTCAATGGTCGACTTCAAAGTTCTACCTACCTGATGACTACAAGAGGTGCGCGGGCGGTAAATGTCTGACATGATTCACAGCAAAATGGAGAGTTTTACCTTGGAACGTTGCCGCCCTGCTCTCAAAACTGGAGATCTGCAATGGAACTTGAAATACATATTGATGTGCCTTTGTGACCCCCCTCAGTGCTGAAGAAATGCATGGCGCGAAGTAGCGCGGCTTCGGCTTGTTTCGGATCTTTCGCGCTTCGGCTTCGGTCTTTTGCAGAGTGCGCAGATCTAAAGAACGTGCGCAGCTCCGAGCCAAGGAAGTCGGGTAATGCAATCAGTTCCAGCAATGAAGCGTCAGGGACCATTTGAGGTTCATTCAGATTCATTTGTACTGATCCTGTTGTATCATAGTTCATGTAGGCACTGCTCTGCTTTTGTCTGTCTCTTCAAACAGTGCTTTATCATTTGCTATAGGCTATACTTGTCTGCATCGTATGCGTAGTATGCATAGATCATATCAAGCAATGAGTATTCCTGAGTATTCATGAGTCCTGATGGTCGATCATACATCTCCGAGTGTGTGTGTGCATGCAAAGACTCTATCTATACAATCTATATCTATCCTTGTACCCTAAGGCATTGTTTTCAAGGTGGATGACCCTTCAGGGACTCTCGGGACTGGCAAGTCAGCAAACATGAAATAAACTACAGATAATAGATTTCAAAGCGTTCTAGCCTATTGATCCTATTTTGTAATTGTAAGGGATTCATCGTAAGTTGTAAACAATATAGCAACAAAAGGATACAAAAGAATTAAAAAATATAGCGGTTGAAGGGAATTATTATGTGGTTCGCGTTTTTATCTTTGCAATCCACTATCTTCTAGTTCCAGGAATAATTCCCTGAATTCCCTGTTCATCTAGAAAAGGGATGAAAAGTGTGCGTGTCAAATGTTCTCAACAACTCGGGCATCAGACCAAAAAAATAAAAACGATATGAGACGATTGGAGCGATCGGACGCTACGAACGGGGCTCCTGGCCATACTACGAACGGAACAAGAGACATGCATTGAAATCACGAAAAATAAGCTAATAGCAAACATTGTTACTACTAGTAAGGCACTTGTTACTAGAAGCGATGCACTTGTTACTACTAGTAAGGCACTTGTTACTAGAAGCGATGCACTTGTTCCTAGTAGCTTCTTGTTACTACTAGCAAGGCACTTGTTACTAGTAGCGTGGCACTTGTTCGGCAAAATCCTTCGACTTCCGGCTCGCTCAGGTGTGGCATTTGCGACCTTGGGCGACCTTGGGCGACCTCAGAATCACCGGAGACTGGGACGATCAACCCACTTAGTACAGTAAGATACAGTATATATGTGGTTATATAATCATCCTGCTTCATACGCTCGTCCACTGGGCTTCCTGGGCTTGCTCAGCTCCTTGAATAAGAACGCCCTAATTACTCGGCTTACTGAGCTCATGCTCATACTGTCCTCCGTTTAGATGAGTTGAGCGGCGTAGGCATAGAGTTGTTACCTCTCTTTCAGATGAATTGTCATCGTGGTACTACATGGGGCAGCCACCGACTTTAAGCAATCAAGAGGACTTGGAGTTACTAAAATTGCAACAGCCTCCAATGCATGGCTCTCATATGCACATTTGGGGTAGCCCGCCAAGCTGTGGCCAATCCAGTCATGCAAAACGGCTTCCCTTCCCTCCCCTTGGCTGCTTTCTGCTGTGGATTGTGCGTCCAATTCACAGGTGACCCAAATCTCGGTGTTTCCAGCTATCTGCATTGTCCACTGCCGAGTCAGACCAAAGATTTCCAGGTTGAGGCTCGGGCACTCACTATGGAGGCCATTGCTTTCACAGCCCAACCCTGGCGAGTCATCGTAAACAGTAACAGCCAAACAGATTCAGATCTATGCAAGAACTATCCGAATCCATTCTAGGTATTTTGGTCATGATTCACCAGGTGATCCCTACCACCAAACCAGAAAGTTGAATCTCCTATCAACGCCAACAAAGATATTCTTTCATGGCTATAAAACCTATTGAAGAGAAACGCCAAACAAGGGCAGAAGTTGACCTCTGTTCGTTGCTCCAGCCATCCAACCTGGAATGCAGAGCAAAGTTGGCAGGCACCTGAGGCACTGGTCTTCACTTGCGATCCTTCAACCCCCTGTCAAATGGTCAAAAAATGTGATCAGTCTTCACAGTCTTCACTGTCCAAATGGCAAATCATGTTGTGTTTGTTTTCCCCGTTGTGCGATCACCAACTACTGAGCACCAGACGCCAAACTGCATGTACTGCGTAGCTCACTTCTTAACGCATTCCTCTTCAGGTGGGATTGTCCTCGGACTCCGTGGTCTCTCGTCTGGATATCACAGTTGGGGCAGAAATGGAGATGGAAAGTCCTGGACACTGTATTTTGGGATGATAGAAAGTGGCTGGCTGCGGCCTCTGGTTGGATGCGTATCACGTTCTGAGTATCATGTGAACTGGCAAACTGGGATCGAACATCGCCAAGCAGCAGTTTGGGATGCTTCGAATCGTAGTGCTGTTGCAGCCTGCCAATCGAGGACTTGATGGGATTCTGACCCAACTCCAAATCATTACATGTATTCAAAAACGTCCAAAATTGGTGAGTCACCAATTTGGAATCGGTGAGTCATAATATCTTGAGTTCTCTTCTTGAGAAGAATGAAGCTGCCAAGTCGCATCTTGTAGTTCGTGCTCTCCTGAAGGCCTTGTGGCATGGACAAGATGCAGATCCACTGGCAAACAAGCTTTCGATGTTTTAAGCAGCTAAAACATCTGAGAGCCCAAAAAATAACTCCTCCTCTCAGCTCATTGACCTACACCAGCTGGGTTCGGAGCTTCAGACGTTCCCAAAGAGTGAATCAATCTACATTGGCCGGCCTTCCGGGTCTGACCTGTTCACGTCTTTTCTACGAGCTATCTTTTGCCACATTGGAATATTGGAAGAAGGACACCTACTGCCACCCAATGGCAACACCCGGTGTCCATCATCTGACTGAGTTGCCAACAGGAAGGACATTGGAACTTCAATCCGGCCTTCTGCGCCTCGGTCGGCGGGTTGCTGCAGGGAAGTGTCCATTGGCAACACGGACACAAATCGGAATCTATTGAAACACGTCATTCATGGATGCCTGTGGAGGAAACACAAACAAATATAAACAAGTCATGTTTGAATTTCCTCTGCGAAAACATGGTCCGGATTAAATTTGGGAGTTGTGTATGTTTTTTTTTTTTCGATTTTCGTGGCAGGTGCAGTACTTTGTGGACCTTGAAGTGCAAATTTCGTGAAAGGTGCAGCACTTTGTGAACTTGGAAGTGCACATAGAGAGAGAGAGAGGGAGAGCGAGGGAGACAGATAGAGAGAGAGAGAGATAGTGAAAGAGAAAGAGAGAGAGAGAGAGTTAGATAGTTAGTTAGCTGGTTAGTTAGTTAGTTAGTTGGTTGGTTGGTTGGTTAGTTAGTTAGTTAGTTAGTTAGTTAGTTGGTTGGTTGGTTGGTTGGCTATTTGGTTGGTTGGTTGGTTGGTTGGTTGGTTGGTTAGTTAGTTAGTTAGTTAGTTACTTAATGGATAGATAGATAGATAGATAGATAGATAGATAGACAAATATATAAAGAAACGAAAGCCGCGAAAGCCAAAAACCACACAGAATCCAGAAGCCACGAAAGCAATGAAAGCCAAAAGCCACAGAAGCCAGAAGCCACGAAAGCCACGAAAGCCAAAAGGCACAGAAGCCAAAAGCCACGAAAAAAGAAACAAATCCTATAAAAGAAAAAGAACATCCTAAAATAACTTGCCCTCCGTCAGGAATTGATTAACAAATGATTCCAAGCAAATTCACAAGATTTCTGCCAGCCTTTAAGCCTTTCAGTCTCTCAATCTTATCGTCATCCTCAGGTTGCGGCATCCAGTTGCGAGCCGGATTTCTTCATGGACGCCTCGGTCAGTCGATTTCATCGATCATCCCGGTGAAGAAAGAAGCTGTGAAAGGAATCAACCACTCCTCTTGTAGAATGAAACACTGGATGGAACAAACAAGAGGAGTGGTTGATTCCTTTCACAGCTTCTTTCTCCGCCGGGATGAGACAAACATTGGATGGCGCGACTTGCGGACTGTCCATGCCACGGCCCGATGTTTGTAGGTCATGCGTCAACTTTGATTGATTTGACCTCCCATATTTGTTCCGTCCTCTCCCAACTGAGACACGCCAAAAAAACAAAGCAGTCACAGCTTCAATCCACTGAGAAATGCGTACAAAAGAAATCATGAATCTCAAAGCCACACGTTCCCAAGACACACCTCACAATGCACCAAATAACATCAAATGTGTTGTTTCATCGATTCCATTTCCACCAGCTCCGTCACCACCTTCACCACACCACCTTGCGCCGGGCGCCTGCTTCGCAGCATTCTTCTCTTGGGCTTGTTGCTTGGCATGCCCACGCACCATGGCCTGGTCGTGCTTACATTGCTAATATTATAATCGATACCCTGCAAACATGCCACATGTGTTGGCCATATAGTGAAATGGCAAAACATCGTGTAGCAATTTAACAATCTGATATGTTTTACTGTATGTGGTCTAGTCTCAGTTTATTGGTAAAGAAAACTGCAACTGATATAGCAACCTACATATATACTACCCAAGACTTGCCAAATTGTAAGTTAAGTGTTGAAGAACCGCAACCTGAAAACGTTGTTGAAAAAATGTCTCCGAATGGATCAATGTCTTGCAACCCGACAATTCTTTTCAAGTCATTCAAACACCGAAAAGTTGTGCCAACTAATCAGCTGATCCTTCATAAATGATCAAAAGAGGATGCTACGAACGGAGCAAAGGACATCACTACAGGGAACAAAGGACGCTACGAACGGAACAATCAAAGTGATGATCGGTTCCGGCAAAATCTGGTGCCTTGCCCGTTCGTCAACATGGATTACACGACCCGGTTCTCACTAGCCTGCAGCAAAAGGTGGCAATGACCAACGCTACTGGTAACGCAAAAATGGCTGCGTGGAAGAAATCTGCCAACTTACAAGGACGAACTCGGACATGACAAAAGACGTCCTTCCCAGATAGGAATTGATATGTCTGCATTTCCGGATGCGTCCATGTCTTGCAGTTGCTTTCCCATTCTCCCGAGCCCCCCAAATGAACATCAACTCATGGAGTTGGTCTCTGAAGTTGGTTTGATCCGGTTTATTCCACAAAAAGCCTTCCGGCCATGTTTGGGGTTCTATCTAAACCCTTGTGACATGACAACGAAGCAAAATACTATGATTCGACAAATGCCACACTAACTATCGGGAAATCGCTATGTTTCGACCTGAAATAGCTTTCGATGGAAATCACCGACCAGGAAAACTGCATACAAGTCAGAATGGTGCGGTGCTATAGTTAGTAGTTCGGTGTACTTGCAAAACACCCTTGGGGCCGGACTTCTATCGGATACAACCACTTAATTGCTGGTTGAGCACCTTCAAAAATCAACCAAGCAAGCGAAAACCATCCGATGGTACGAAAAAGTGCCAGCTTGTTCTTCCCCTCCTCCTCCTCCTTCTCCTCCTCGCAGTCTTCCCTCCATTGACCACCCAAGGCGCACACCTGTCAGCGGCTAAAGGCCAAAAATCAAAGCCTCGACTCAGCCCAAGTTCCGGTGCTGGGTGGTGCCTTCAGCAGCCCCCAACAACCAGACCAGGAGCAAGTCGGCCCTGGCTGCTGGTCTTCAGCAAGTCGGGGCCAATTCGGCTCACTCGTTAGACGCAGAGAATTGCGGCAGGAAGCACTGAGGCCCTCAGCCTGGGTACACTAGAGAGTCACTGACTCATGGTGGGAAAAAGCTCGGTATCAAGGAGAGGCTTCTTGGTCACAGAATATCTGCAATATTCTGCACTGGTGTGTGTGTGTGTGTGTGTCTGTGTCTGTGTGTAGTATATACCGCCTTTCTTTCATGTTTATATATAATAGCCATGACAATATGCCACGTGTGTGTGGTGCCCCGAGCCTTCCCGACCAAGCGATGTGGAAAAAATGAACATGTCACCTGGCACATACACGTCTTTCTTCTTGTGCCCATGTTGATCCCCTACAAGAACCTGGCCATTGGACCAGCAAATGAAAAGCAGGCGGCTTTGGGAGGCAAACCCATGTTAAAGATGAATCAGGAATATTAAGCTCGAACCTAGTTGCAACATGTTGCAACTACGCCATGATACTTCTGTCTCTGCACAATAGTCTTTCTCCTTTCAGCATCATTCAAATCAGTCCAAACACCTCCACCCCCCGCAGCATGCCATGCAACCCTCGTCGGAGCTGCCGAAGGAGACTTGGTCGCTCCCCGCGGACGGCGGGACGCACGGGACGCCGCCCTCCGACTGGCCGATGGCGTCCTGCCCATGCAGCAGATAGAGCTAAGGAAGAGACCCCCGAAAGCCTCTGTGGTGTCCAGTTTTCGCATGTGGAGAAACCACGCGAGGTGCAGAGGCAATCGCACGTTGGTCATGACTTCCCAACAGATGCAACCAATTGCCTACCACAAGATATTCACCGATTGCACTCGCCGATATGTCGCCGTATGTCTCACAATGAGGGGGCAAAAAATAAAACTATGTTGAATAAACCTGTGATTATACTGGTGGGGCACCGACCACACCCATTGAAGGCAGGTCATTGCAAGCGAAACCAATGGCTTTGGGGACAAACCAATCCTCTACAATTTGCTTTAAAAACGTCTGAGAGTTGAGTGACGAATGATGGGCTGACTAGCTGATTAGCCTACCAAAGTTTTGTGGAAATCCTGGGTTCAACATGACAGCCTTCCATTATCCAGTGAGTACTTAAAAGGTAAAGCAGAAGATGATGATCCTGAGGATATCTGGGGATGCCGAAGAAGCACCATGAAGCACCCAAAGAAACGCTGACGTATTGGCTGGACGAATGTGGCATAAACAAACAAATGCAAAAATCCTGCTGATGGATTTTCGGACAAAGAAGGGAGATCTTCATTGAGCCGTTCCTGGCCGCAGTTGAGGAGTCATGGTGACACTTCCATTGGACTCAAATCACCTTGAAGGCGTCTGCACCAATCTCCCTTGGATTTCAGGTTCGAGTGATGGTTGAAAGTAGTGGGCTGACAACGTCGGCTCTATTTCAGGAGTGGTTGCGAAGCTCCTTCACCCACCGCTGCAGAACGGGTGACCGTGTGACCACCCGCGTGAGCTGGCGCCTGAGTCACGTCCGTCCGGAGCGTGTCATTCTCCTCGGCGGAACGAAGCTGCCGCTGGATCATAGGAGGTCCCCTTAAGCAGGTATTGTAGACTCTTGGTTAGTACAACCCCCCCGAATTGAATTGTAAAGCCTCTTCATAGGGGGTGTTTACAAAATCCGTTTGTCTCATGGATCATTTAACAAAAGTAAAAATAAACTCATGCGGTTCACCCATTTTCCGCATCGGGTTCCTTCGTGAAAGAACTCATGAGAGCCACGTCGGGTTCGGCGCCGGAGCCCGGCGGCCGGCGAGCGGAGAGGGGCATGGACTCAGCCGCTGGCCGTACCGAGTGTTGGGGAGGCCATCGACTCTGCGGTTGGTTTGGTCAGGGAGTCCTGCAGGTTGAATGAACCACTCTCCACAATGACCAATCCAAGCTGGAGTAGTTCACCATCTTTAAGTTGCTCAGTTCGTCTCAGACTAGAAGTTCAGTTCTTCAGGTTTTGACCTTAGTTGGTTGATTTCTAGAGGCAATCGTCGTCCAACAGTGTAATCTCGCATGTCCACCGCCATCCAAACCTTCCTTTTTGGGGATATGAAAAAAGAATAACAAAAAAAAACGCAGCCCCCCCCGTCCCGGACCGTGTGACCTGAACCCTGAGGGCTCATGTGACCCGCACTCCTGAAAGCGGGGTGGCGACAGGGACGTGTTCCGCACCTTAGTGGCACGACGGAGAGAGACGAGAGAGAGCGACGTGGAATCAACCACCCAAATTGGCCCTCCTTTGCCCTGAGAATTATGTAATTTCTACACTCATCCTATGGTCTAGAGCCTAGAGAATAAACCAGGGTCTATGGATTCTATGGACCAATCCTCCAGACGATCCTGCTTGGACCCTGAGAAAGAAGACCGGGTGGTTTCGACCATTTTCCGAAGACCCACCCAGTGGTTATGGGGGTCCATGTCAATCTTATGGTGACCAAAAAAAAATCACGCACGCAAAGAGAAGCCCCCGAGGCTTGATGGTGTGTGTCTGGTCAAATTGTTTCCGTTGCAATGCAGAGAAGCAGGCATATGTTTGCAACTCGGCGCTGAAGCCAAGAAGAGAGAGAATCTATACAGCTCAACAATTGCAGAGATACTGACTTCACACAGACACCTCAAAACGACTAACGTTACGACAATGAATAGTGCAGAAGAACCACTTCAAAAGCCCGATATTGTTCCCCGAGAGAAACGTACAACATCACCACCGGTAGGTCTGCACAATGTCACCGCAGGTAGAAAAATATGTAGGTGCTTTTGGACCGATACAGCGTACAGCGCTACACTTTGCTACTGTTGTTTCGACATTGCTGCTTTCGGTGACTTTTCACTAGAAATCTCGACTTTGGCTTTAATAGTTTATTAGTATCTCTGCAAAGGTGAACTGATGGCTCTTGCTTGTCTGTGGATATTTGCTCTAGAAGAATCTGTACTTTTTGATACTGTTATGTAGAGGTCTGTAGATACTTTTGGCTGCTTGAAAAAAAAGCTTATATAACTGTTGGATATGTTTTCTTTTTTTCTAGAACCCCCTGCTGTCGGCTACTGTTGTGTAGGAATCTCTACTTTTGGATACGCTTCGCTAGAAACCGCTACGTACTTTGAAACTCGTCCCATCGATCTCGTCCCACGAGAGATCTCGAGACATCTTAGGTGACTCTTTCAAGGATTTTGTATCTTTTCTTTAGAAAATCTCCATCTGCAGAAACTAAAGTCTTTATAAGTCCGTTCTTTTGGCTGTAAACATGTCTCCAGAATTCTCCAGAATCTAGAAACCTCTACCTTTGCCAGCATTTCCCTTAAAATCCCTACTGAGACTCTGGTGGATCTTGAAACCCGTACTGCATCGGCCCGCTCCAGTCTCGCCCAGTCTGCCAGGTCACGCGGGGCACTTTGCCGGCCAGCGCGACCTGAAGACGTCGCCAGCGGGGGCCAAAAATAGACGGCCCGTGGCCTAGGTTTGAACAGGTCGTGTAACCAAAATGAACACAAATGTCCTACATAACCATGGAAAACCCCTGGCCATCTATGGCCATATAGACTTTAAGCCCGAACCCCCCATCCTGCGGCCTCATGTGGCGGATCTGCGGATCCCAACTCTTTTTCGTCCACCTTTTAAGTGTCCGTCACGGTGCTTCAAGTTCTACCGTTGACAGTGGGTCTAGGTGATGTACATATGTCTTCCTTCACTGAGGAATTGTCCTTTCCTCGGGTCAACATGAACCATGCGATCCTATGTCATGTTTGTCATCAGTACCTTCAGGGGGAAGTTGCTCCCACCTCTTCCATCCTCCCACCTCTTCCTCCCACATCTTCCTCCAGAAGCCAACGTCGTCTGGTCACTCCTCTGCGGGGCACCCCACCGGCTTTTCGCCACTCCTCCGTAGCAGCGCCGCCAAGGGGTGGCGCCTTGACAGGTCCGCCACGGGTCGTGGGGGATTGACTGGAGGAAAAACCTGCCAGCGGCTGACACTTAAAAGAGAACTTCCTGGAAATCGGTGGTTTCTGGCCACTGGGTCCAGTCGACTGGGATGTGCAGACACTTGGATCGAGCTTCTCATTCCACCTTTTTTGAAGGGAGGTCAGATGCACCTCCGGCATCCTACCATCTCCACTCCCAGGTGCAAAGCGCCAGGGGCGCCTGAAGGCAATGGCATCGATCTTGGAGCAAGCGAAGCACCTGGCCAATCGCAAACAGTCAACAAAGCGGATCGAGCAAAGGACTAGGCTAGGACGGATAGGCTCCAACAGCGTTCCTTTCTGCGGAAAAGCTCGATCGAAGTAGAGCTCAACGGGTCCATCTTCTCTGCAGGAAACGATGGACCAGCTCGCAGTCTCGGAGTCGACGGTCGTCGTTTCCATTCGTCGTCCCAGAAAGAATGGAGACCGTCTGACCCCGCCGAACCAAGGACTCCGAACCAAGGTCCGGACAAGGCTCGACCAAGGCTACTTCAGGGACTCCTTCACCAATTCTAAAGACTTCTACTCCAGCAGTTTGCTGGGGGTCTGTACATGGACTTGCTAATTCTTCTCCTGCCCATCCCATGTGCACCCACCAGTCGACCGCCAGCCCATTCGCCCATCCTTCCCCCCGTCTTCTCGCACCGGATTCGCGTCCGCCGAATCGCCTCAAGTTGCCCCATCCTTCGCCCGACTCGGTCGACTTGCCTCCAGTCCGTCGACGTCGTCCGGAGTGGACTCGTCCGGATCACATGGGTTTCACGCAAGGAGGTCAACGGCAGGAAGGGTTTCTTCAGCTTTAGAACCCATTCTTCCTCTGAACGGGACGGAGGCTGACAAAAAGCAAGAAACACTCCACCCCAAGCACCAAAAATGCAGACTTCTCCCCAGAAGGATCTGCTGCTTCTCTCCCAGTGTGACCCTCTTCGGAACAAGAGAAAGCTGGTGGGCCCTTAGGATCTGGCAAATCTGGCACTTCTTGTCCACAACATAGGGCGTTCCCTCCTGGAACAGCGTGTGTGCGCGTGTGTGCGCGTGTGTGCGCGTGTGTGCGCCAAAGGAGGTGACAAGAACCTCACTGGGTGGGGAAATGCATCGGAGGAGCTCTTGATGTCCAAATGACAAATACACAAACCGCCCGAAAGTGAGTGCAGCACTGGTTTTCACTTCCCAGAACTGGTTGATTGTTGCTCTAGCTAATCTAATGAGACATTCCAGAAAAGTATGTGTGTATATATATATATATGACTATATATTGTTTTTAGTATATCTACTATTTGTATCTATTTGTATGATACTATATCATAATATATCGTACATAAAGAAGATCAAACAAGTAGCCTGGCGCACATCCATAGACTTGGATGTAGTTAGTCGGACCGGAGAAGAAGAGCCTAGTGACATCTAGTGACTACGATTAAGGATCGCTTGTCAAAGTGGCTATGATCAAAGCTGTCGATACTTCCGACTGGGGCCCAGCGTCAAGCCAACGAAGATAGAAGGATGCTTGCCTCCGACAGAAGGATCTGACGGATCCTCTCACCTGCCTGAGTTCTTGGCATCTCCACTGTCGACCTCTGTATCTTCTGTCAACCTCCCATGACCCACCTGTCCACCAACTTGTTGGTTCAACCGTCAATCCAACCAAAACGCTGAGCCTCACAAATGGTCCACGCTGAGCCTCACCATCCTCCAGCCGCCCGGAATCCGCCCGGAATCCGGGGCGACTCACAATGGCGCCCTCCTTGGGAGCTTCAGACGCCTGCTTGGTGGACTTTCGTATCACCTGCCGGCGAGCGCCTTTTGCCCCCAGCGCTCAACTTTCCCACAATTATGGGGAGGCCAAACAAAAGAAGGCGACGAAGAAATGGTGAATCAAAACCTGGAATCCCACACCCTGCTAGATTGACCATGTCTGGTAGTCTATTCTGTTCATTGTCGGTGGTTCACCAAGGTTCCCCGGTGCCATGACCCACACCCATATGGAAAAGCCCTTTCGGTTCAAAGGATGAGGATGGCTGTAGCTCTCCAGAATCCAGAAGTCACCCCTGGAGGAGAACATCAAGTAAAGCATGTCCAACCAACCAACCAACCAGCCAGCCAGCCAGCCAGCCAGCCAGCCAACCAACCAACCAGCCAACCAACCAACCAACACACCAACCATCCAACCCTTCTAAGAAATCGTGGTCGACCTCCTGCTTTTCAGCAACCGTTTTTTGACCTCATCAATGATTTTGACCGATCACCTTCCTCTTTCCCCAAAAACACCTGATTTGAGCGAGATCATCATGACATGAATGAAGGAATCGACACACCAAAACATGTCCTGTGCTCGAACTCGGCTCGTTCGTCGGATGGAACGGCCACTGGTCACGGCCAATTTGTGGGGGTGGCTGCGGCCCGTCTTCCGTCGCCAGCATTCGCCGATCGGAGAAACACATGGTCACATGGCTCAAAATGCTGTTGCGTGTTCATTGCAAACACTTACATGTCTTGTGATGGCTCCCTTTCCTTCGAATTTGGTGATGCAAGTGAACCTTTTTCACCTCATCCTTTGTTGAGCCTACAACCTGAAAACGTGGAACAAGTTCATTGAGCGAAGGAGTCGCGACTCTCGCGATTCAAGACAATGATGCGAAGATGCGATGATCAAAGCCACAACTTCAACTGACAATGAACATTCATGTCGACATGCAAGGTTTCCCTTCGGTTTCCAAACATTCCCACCGGTGGAAAAAAAATGAAAATTGCTGCCTCCATCCTGTTCTTTAAGCTCTCCATACAAGCATCACTTGGCATTCTTTAGCTTGACATTTTATCGGGGAAGGCTTTCAATTCCACTTGGTACACCATTCGAGGTCACCTTTCTTAGGTCATCTTTTTCTGCCGAAGAGCTTCACGTTCCACAAACATTTGCAAACATGGAGATATACATGTATATATACATATTGTACCACAACATACCAACGGCATTTCAAGTACTGTACGTGTGTTTGCAAAATCGGTCGGGAGCGCCTCCTTGGGCAGGGGCTTCACACAGGGCGCCGGCATGTCATCCTTGCCAGCCATGTCGTCCACGGGAAGGAATGGGCGACACATTGGTTTCGATCACAGGGACCCTTCAATCAACAACAAGACCTGTTGTTCTTAAGGCTGGATAGAAAGAACCATTGCAAGAAGAAATGGCCTCGGCACTACGTCTTACTTCCCTCGCTTTGCCCCGAGCGTTTCAGCGGGTGACCGGATGACGCCACGACCAGCCTCGAACTCTGGAGCGTCATCCATGTCCCACATGTCGGGGCGCCTTGGAAAAACACCAGCCGAGCCGTGAAACGCGGCGGTCGGCGACCTAAGACTTGCCAAGACGGAAGACCGCCTCTCTTTCCAGTAGAGTTTTAGGATTCTTTGGTGTCTATCAACGATCGAGATTCTCTTGTCTGGGTCGCTGGGCCAGTTGAACCTGCATGGTTGTTGAGAGCTTTTCTACCATTGCGAAGTGGCAAAACTGAAGCTATGGCAGCATGTGCTGAGGGCTGACTCAGTTCCCACTTAAAATGCCGAATTAACATTTTCTCAGCACTGGGATACACTGAGAAGAACCAGCGCCATGACATCAGCTGCTATACTTAGATAGACGATCACAATGGGCCCTTTCACCGAGTGTCTGGGTTGCTTGTAATTGCGCTTGCAGAAAGACGCTATGATTCTGTGGTATAGGCCTACGGACGCTCTCACTGGATTCGCTCATGGGTCTGACTGACGGCACTTCGCCAGGATTGGCCCATGCAAGGACTTGTATTGAGAATTGACATGGAAGCATCTTTTGGTAAAGGATAGTTATAACTTTCACTTTCTATGTCTATGGTTTTGTTGGATTGCTTTGGAGGACACCCTGACCTTGCTCCGTTCTTCTATACTTACAGAGTGAATTTGCGAGCATGCCACAGACAGAGTCCGATCTTAAGATTGTGGATGCTATGAGCTGTCACCCAACAAACCATTTCATCGGGTGGGAGGAAACACGTTACCACCTCCCGTTTAGCGGATGGCGAATTTCAATACTCTCGGGTGAGAAAGAGAGACCAATTGAGCCTCCCAAAGAAACCTAAACCTAAGCCTAAGTCGAATCGTCTGGAATCTCTCGGCTGTTCGAGATAACGAGCTTGTGCATGTTGGCCCACCAAGCTGGCCATGCCAACTAGATTCAGTGTGCCGATGGGGTTGGCGAGTCTCTGAGAGCCCCCCACAGGCCCCACAGGGCACATCTGATCGGCGCGACACATAATTACGGCGCTCCGACACATTCTGGGACGTCCCTACAGCCTCCGGACAGCCCAGCTCACAGCACCGTAGCGGCGTTCCTGGTGGAAGCCCGAATCGAAACGAACGAGGACAAAAAGAGAATGTCCGGAATCGACTCATACTTTTTCCCTGACCCAGCCTGAAAACACCAAAGCACCATGGGATTTTCTCTAACTCACCAGCCAAACCGACTGGGTCAACCGCTCTTTGAAACACCTGCGTATGGTCTTTGAAACACCTGTGTATGGAACAAATACCTACGGGGTGAAATAATGACATGTGGGTGATGGCCAAGAGCACGAAGTCCGTGCATGTCCCCACAAAATCAGAGATCAGTGGGAACCCCCAAAGGTACTGCATGCTTTGATTTCGTCCGAGGCTTCTCCAAGGCTTCGTCCTCACCGCCGGTTCCGTCGTTCCGTCCTCCTCTTCCTTCTCCATCTTCCGTCGCTGCAAGGAGCTTCGAAGGCTCTCCACGCCGAAGCGCCTCCGTCTCGCCCGAGCGAGCGTGGCCGTGGGCCGTTTCGGCTCGGCCCTGTGGGGCAAAGGTCACGAAGTGAGGAGAATTGGTTTTGAACAGCACAGCTGCAGAATAGTAGATACCTTACGGTCCATCGATTCCAACTTGACAGAATTTGGTCCACCTAATCACGGGCTGAGGCCAGGTCAAATAGGTCAGCAGCCATACGGTCTGAAGCAACGTGGACATGCCTGAGCCACTTCCAAGACTCCAAGTGAGTGTGTCTAATTCATAACATCTGGAAACCCTCCGGTATAACAACTCCATGGTGAGCTGGGTCTATGTAGAATTGATTTCGGAATTGTGTTCTTTTTCCGAAGCAATTCCAACGCCCGCGAAGGTGTCAACTTCATCCGTCAACTTCAGGGACTCACAGAGGACGTGGATTGGTGTCGAAAGCGTCACTTGCTTAAGGCACATGAGCAATATTGCCTTTCATTGAATTTCAAGAACTGTCCGGGATCCCAGAAGTAGACGGACCCAAATGGTTGTTCCAAGCATGAAGTAGACGGAGCCAATGGTGCGAAGAACCCCTCTCCGGGCCTATGCAAGAAGGTCTTTTGGCGGAGCACAGTCTCAAACAAATCACGGAAATGCCATTTCAGGTGTGTCAAACTTGTACAGTAAAACCACCAGTACCTCTCAAAAGATGACACTCAAGACTCCCTCAAGGCTAAAGATTGCCGTCTCCCTCAGGCTGTTTTAGCCAAGCTGCTCCTCTGCTGCATGTTCCCATAGCAACCCAGGTAGGTATAGGCCACCTGACCAGCTGAAATAAAGAAAGAAGCACCGGCATGACGGCCTGTGAGCAAAAAAAGAGGTCTGGTCCTTTAAACTTGAACCACTGGGCAGGAAGCTGGGCTTGTTTGAAGCCAAGGATGATCATGGTTCCATGCCCGATTGCTTAATGATGATTGCAGCCAAGAACCAGTCCTAGGATGATCCAGGACAGGCCCTAGGATGAATCGATGGCCAGGAACTCGGGATGATTCTAGGGATGATCCAGATGATGTCAGGATGACCAAGAACTATATACCCCTAGGATGATTGGGATGACCCAGACCACACCCCATGATGATTAAAGATGGCTCGAGGTTCGAGGATAGCCAAGACCCAGCTCTGTGATGAAGACCCAGGATGATCCAGGCCTGGGACCTCAAATGAGTTGAGTTGATGATTCAGGAGAGGATAAACCTGGCCCTACGATGATTTTGGAATACCAGGACGATATGATGATTTTAGAATGGTGAGCAGGATATTGTATTCAAGGTCTCAAAAAAGACCACAATGCTCCCCAGTCTTGTCCTCCCCAAATCAACCCTACAGTGGTCGGTCAATGCCACACAAGAAACTGCCAGACCCGGACCATGAAATCACTGGAAAAGCCCCTGGCAAATCATCCCCGTGCTATCCAGCTTAGCTACGTCTTTGCATGTTGTGATTCTGCAGTAGAGAAATGGGCTTCGAAAAAGACGACTCAGTAGACCACGGCGGAGAACACGGGTCCCCAGAACCTTCGGTCCTTTCGGGGAAGAAGAACGGTCGTGATGGTCGGTCGAACCGCGTGGAACTCCGCTGAGAAAGAGTTGCGAAGCGCATCGGCCGTGAAGAACGCCTTGCAAAGCATCTCCATCAAGGCCTGGGATGCTTCTTGCAGCGGTCGCTCAATCTCATGGGGGTTCGGGGGCGGGGGTGCGTGACCAATTCAGAACAAGGAAATCGACTGCTAAGCAGAACCCTTGAAGTGTCCGAGAAAAAACAAGTTCACCCTAAGAAAACAAGAAGAATGCCAATGCGAAATCGCCACCTTCGCTCTGGCTCCACGTGTTTTCCGCCTCCTTCGCTCCACGTCTTTCTTCGCCGGGCTCCCCGACCGGAACCTTTAAGAAGCCGCTGGTGGGCTCGGCCCGTGCTGCCTCGTGTGCTCCGCAGTTTTTCCAAGGGAGTCCAGTGGTGAAAAGTCTTTGAACATGGACAGATTTGGGAGAAGCTTTTGGACTGTGTCTCCTTTGCACTTGGGCGCAAGGGAGAGGTGGAAAGCGCACTCTTCGGCACCTATTAAACCGTGATAACTCTTCAACGGTAGGTGTAGGGGGGTAAGGTCGGAACTAAAAAAATATTTTACAGCTTGTTCAATGGCGAGACCGTCAAGAAGTTGGGGCATGTTGGGGCAGGCTGAGACCGAGAAGTTGGTTGTATAGCTATATACTGTTATTAAGCTCACGATAATATATAACAGCTAGAAGCTTCACTAATATATTTTAATTCTTGGTCTGTGAGTCTGTGAGCTTCTATTACAGCTTCATGACAGAAGCTTACAGACTCAGAAGACTGTGCACTTCCAAGAAGGAGGTTTGGCTTGGGGGGCTCATCGTGTTCAACTGTGGATTTTTATACGACTCATCATCCGCCTGCTACTGGTCACTCGAACATGGTGATGGCCCAAGCCGATGCAATTCACAGGGCTTGATAGAACGTTGGAGGCGTGGCGCACTGGGCCAGATGACCATGCATATATGACCCACGGCACGGTCCATGGGGCCATATGACCCATTGAGAGCCATGATGAACCATGGCAGCAGCCCCACACACCCTGCTTTGACACGCAATCCACCAGTTTGGGGTATTCCCAAAACTCTGTCCCAGAACTTACTTGACCCATGGGTGGCGCCCTTCAGGCCGGTGCCAAGTACAAAGAGGACCACCGTTCGCATCAACAGCGTGGCTGCGTTCCTTTCGTTGGCCCCCTAAGGACCTACCTAAGAATGAAGAAAGACAACCATGAGCACCACCTGAGACGCGCAGCCCTGTCTTTTGAGTTGAGGTGTTCCATCTTCCAGATGGCATTCCCATGCGTTTTCTTTCGGGTACACAAATATCTCAACACGTCCTCACTGAAGACCAAATACGTGAAGACCAAGTTTACGACCAGTTGCAACAAGTGTCTCTTCCTGAGTTTCGTTTATAGTCGGAGTCGGACTCGGCAGAAACCGACTCCCGCAACCAAAAAGGAGTGTTGCAAAAGATTCACTGGTGATTGGTGTCCCTCGGTCCCACCACCTCTCTCGGTCCCTCGCCGAAGACGTTCAGTTCCGTTCGAACGTGTTTGTTTCGCCTCGCCTCTCGAAGGCGCAAGGAGATCACCTCCCAAGGCAAGACCAACCTCGGCCGAGTGGAGAGGTATACGGTATATGGGTCGGTATATGGGTCTTAAATAAGGAGATCCCCCTGAAGCCAAATCGATAGGGTAGACTGGTCTAGTTTCTTTCTTCGGAGACGAACTGGGAGGTCTTCGCTCATGCACATCCGCATATGTTCGTCCTTGAGCTGGGGCGAAAAAGCAAAAACGACGCAGAGAAAGAGAGAGAGAGAGAGATCCGCGGAACTGCGCAGAGATCGTTCGGGCCCTGAAGCCAAAGTCTGAAGAAATAGGGCCAAGCACTGCTTCGTCAAGGCTTTCGTTCTGCGTTGACAGTAAACCAGGACATTTGGCGGATGATTTTCTGATAGAAACGACCTTGCGATCGGCGGCAACCCTATAAAACGAGGACTCAAATTGTTGAGGCATCTACGACGGTTAAAAGTCATGTGAAAGCTGCCAACATGTACAATGTTACAACGGAAACTTCAGGAAGTCAGCACATGGAGCTAGTCACAAGACTCATATATACCAAAAAGAAAACTGTATAGATAGAGAGAGACAGAGAGGGGGAGAGATAGACCCCCAAACAAATAGAAAAGTAGATCCACACTTAAAATGTATTGGAAAACGGTTCTATTTATGTGAGTAGCAATGTATAAATAATCGAATAAATCCAAAAAGTGTTAAATCATGTTAAATCTAAGCACCCAAGAAGAAAGGCAGATCAATGGGGAGCGTGAGCGTGATTCTCACAAATGGATAGCCGCGCTCAGAACAGCGACAAGGAGAAGCAAATCAGATTTGGGAATCAGGCTGCCAGCTCTTCACATTAAAATAAAGCTTTCAGAGCATGACCCGAATCTCGCGAGACAAAGGGCAGCTCAGATGATGCTTGCAACTTGCAACTGGACATTTCTCCCTGCAACCCTTTTCTGGGGCGTCGCATTGCGGAAGAATCCGCACATGGTCTCCGCGCGAAATTTCAGGGGACCGCGAGAGCCTTTTTAGCCCCAATTCTCAGAGCGTCCCTCGCACCCCAGCAGGCCATCGCTAGTAGGTTGGAGGCAACTTGAGGACCTCCTACGTCCGATCACTACACCGGGCCACCACGCCCAGAGCGCTCCTGTGCGGTGCTCCCAAAGGCCATCGCAGCCTGCGCAAGACGCAGCTGCGGAACGCGGGTCATGGGACCCATTCTTGGCACCTGCCAAACACACTGGACTGATTCCAAATAATCCCCTCATGAGCTGAATGAAAAGAATAGGACCTTAGGACCTATAAGGAGGTGTTGCTGACGTGGCCTTACTGAGACGACTCGAAAGTCCAGAAAGATCCGTTGTTGAATTGTAATGTCTCAAAGTAACAAAAATTCAACAGGTACATCGTGGAACTGCCTTTCGCCAGAAGCCCCCCCCACTCTTGACACCTCCCAGTGGCGATGATTTCGCCACTCCGAGCTCGCCTGGATGGAGCCGCGCCGACGCCCGAAAGAGGTGGAGTGCGTGGGCACACTGGAGGTGCCCATCGATGAGGTACCCAGGTCCGGCTTCTTCTCGAAGGCAATCACGGTGGCCCTGCACGCGCGTCAGTCGCGCTGGAAGACGAAGAACGGTGTCCAGGCGCGGTGTTCTCTGTTATTTCCGCGGAGGGAAAATTTGAGGGGGGGGGGTGGGGTGGGCCGAAGAAGACCACCCGGAGGTGCAAATTGGGAAGTCGTGGCGGATTTCTCCCTTCGTCTTTGGTGCTCAAACGATGGTGCCATGTCCAACTAGACCGTATTTCGAATGTCCCGTCCACCTTGACGGGTACACCCGCCTCTTTTTGGCGTCGGAGATGGAAGAGCCTTAGAACATCTGTCCGGCGGTCCATTGGACCACCAAACAGCACCCAAACAGCACCAAACAGGATGAAAAGTGAACGTCATTGACGATCAGTTCACCCAAAACAATCAGACACTTGATGTAAAAAGATGAAAGTCCTGCCAGATTGGGACAACCTCTTAGTTGGTCATCAGGTGAACCCGAGTGAACACACTCTCCGACTGCGGAAGCTCTCCGACCGTCTCTCCTCATCTCCCCCCAGGCCAATGGTTTGTCTTCATCTATGGCCAAGCCAGGCAAGTTTGGCAGGACATAGGTCAAGCCCCCCCACGTGTTCGATTCGGATTCCTCCGTGGATTCCTCGCCACCCGCGCTTTCGTCCCGAGACTCTTCGGTCGGGGGCCCGGTTTGGGGAAGGCCACGGTGGGTGCTGCGTGTCGTCCGTCATGAGTCGTCTGGAACCGACCCGGACTCGTTCCCAGGGGACTTGTTCCTTGCTGTTGCAGGGTGCTGCGTCGTTGGGAGGCTCGTCAACTCTTGGAGGCATGTGGGTTGTGTATTCTCATCTGTTACTTTGTTATCTGTTATCTATTGGGGTAGTGTGCTTTGGAGTGTTTATTGTGATCCGAGCAGTGTGTCAACGACAATTGCGGCCCCTGTCAAGCAATTCTGCCAACATTCGTAGCCTTCACCATCCAATACCATCCACTGAGTCCTCCGAATCACTGGGTTGGGGAACCCTCCCGTAAACAGAAGATAGTGTTCAAGACCGCCTTCATCGATTTTGCTTCCCCCACTTCCTCGCTGATGTTGAAAGACTCCATCCAATTCTCCAGGAGTATGGTTTGCTTCTCTTTCGTGTATCTGGCAACCACTCAGACAAACTGTCCTCCCTTCTCTTCCAAAAGGGCACTGGCACTGTCTCGCCATCCCCCCAAAAAGACCACATGCTGGTCCTTGAACAAACAATCTGTCTTTCGCACCAGGCTTTGTTTCATCTCAGCATCTCCAAGCGAACGCCCAGACGTCGCGCTCGACGAGTCCCCGGACGTCGCGCTGACGGAGATGAACCCTGCCGGCACGGGGACATGGACGGGTGAAATGCAGAGTACTCTGAGAATTCCCTGCTGACAGGAATTTCTTTGGCCCATTGAACAAGTGAGGATGGATCCAAAGAAATGGCAAAACTGGTTGGACGCACATCTACCTACTTTAGTGTTGCCAATGTTTCTGGACAAAGCCGTGAAGATGGCTTTGAGATGCCTTGGGCGAAAGGAACTTCTTTGAAACGCACCATCGTGTTGCATCAAACACTGGCCCACTGGCCACCGATGTGCACGTAGTTCTTGCCCTGGGTCCTAGATCCACAACATCAGAATGCGTGTAAGAAAATGATGATGAGTGGCATGATGAGGAAGATGAGGCGAAAGGCGAAAGGAGGAAGAGGAGCAGGAAAAGAGGAAGAAGACAAAGCAGAAGAGCAAGAGGGGCAGGCAACAAAAGAGGAATGACAAAACTAATTACAATCTATTGTCTGAAGTAAAATCCTTCCAGACGAGGCATAAGGTGAAAAAGGAAGCAAGGCTTCTTCCTACCCAAACAAAGATAAACAACCGATTCCTGCGGAATGTGTTTCAGAAGAATCCCATAACAAATCCACCACCAGGTCCCCCCTCCAAGTCCCTTGGTCCCGAGCTCCCGTATTGGCATTGCTGGCTCCACTACTTACTGACATTGAACTGCGTCGGCCCTGGCGGCTGGAGTGCGCCGGCGCACACGGCTGTTTTGATCACCAAAGAACACCAAAGTGGACATGGAATCGAAGGGGAAAAGAAGTCGTCAGCGATTTCTCATGTTTGCCAAATTTGGGTGCCCCGAACTTATCGCTCATTTTGGCACCGGCGATAGGGATCAGCTTGCTGGTCAGCTTGCTTCCGAAGACTTTGAGCAGCACGACCAGTCCCGTCAACATTGGCATTGACAGAGAAAACCCGGAATCCACATGTCTGGCAAAATATACATGCAAAAATGATTCGTTAATCTACATGCTCGTTATACCTGTTTGGTTGAGGACGTTTTCAAGCTGAGGCCCATGAACGGGGCACATACTCTCGTGCCCAGAGTCCGTTGGCCCTGACATGCCTTTGCTGTGGGTACAGGATCTCCAAAACATTTGGTACAGGAAAGGTAAACCAAACCCTGGTCAAGACAAATTGCCGGAGATCTCCTGGTGATCATCACCAGACACTTTGTACACAATCCACCAGAATCCTGCATCTTCTAGAGCTAGCAGCTAGGAAGCAATACAAGGTTTCTCATTTAGCCGCTCCTGCACCTGAACCCTCAAAACAACACAGGGGGGGAAAAATGGAGAACTAAAATCCTTCACCAACAAAATAGGTCCCTTCATATCCAACCTGTTCATTAGGCTCATCCTCAAAACCATCCACCCATGCCGCCAGCAAAACCTCCGCGCCTGTCGGATTCCCCCTGCCCGGGAGGGGTTGTGGGACTTTGCCTTCCCCATGCTGAGACCTTGGCGATTCCAAATGCACCAAAAGCACCAGCGCTTCGGCAGGGAAACGGGACGGAGCACCCCGGATGGGAAGGAACATCGAGCGAGCAGCAACCAATGCAGCAACTGAAATGTGACCGTCCCAATTCTGTGTCACACCCCCGTTCTGGGGTGGCAAAACGTGCGAATTCGGTGGGGTGCAACCCTTAAGAAAGGCAACCAATTGGACATCTGCCACTTCAGACGGGTGCGGCATGGATAGTTCGTAATGAAGACCTGCTCAAAAGTCCATGACTGTTCGGCCGGGGTGAAACAAATCATATCATGCTCGGATCCCGTTGACGTCACAAGGGCAGGTTTGCCTTGCAGCATGTATCATCTATTGTAATTGCATAAGGGGTACGGTACATACCCGAAGTAGTCATTGACCAGGCAGGCTGTGGATTCCGGCACCTTATCCAGAAAAAAACTGACTGCCCGAGCGAACGATTCTTTCGAAACTCCCGTGCAACCGAAGAGGCTGGAGTCCCTGGCAAGCTCAAACAGTGAGTCCAAACTTGAAAAGCACCCATTGCGCAAATGCACAAAACAAGAACATCCATGAAAAAGTATATGCCTATGTATACATCCATTACATCGCATTACATTACATTATATTACAGCACAGTACATTACATTACATACCGTGCCATGCCATGCCAT